GCACTGTAGGAAAATATTTCTGTATAAGTAGAGAGCAACAAGTTGCAACTAGCAATCTACAAATACACAATTCAAAGAACTAAACTAGTCCTTAAAAATTTTCCTGATCCCAAACCGAAACGTGACATCAGTTCATGAAGTCACTGACAACTGAACTGAGCCATGTCAATAGGTGTAGACTATCTGGTTAGAGTCCGCGTGATTATCGTAGCCAGTGGTTAGACTTTGAATGACATAACTCAAAATCGTTTGCAGTGGCGAAGGTGCACCCATTCTTTGTCTTCCCTTAAATACTGAGATTCTGAATTGACCAAAACTTATGTTTTTACTTCACCAATTCATACTCTATTACTTACAATCCCCAATCACCCTGTTACTGTCTCCACTATTTTGGAATTCGGCCTGGCAATTTTATCTCTCTGTGTTAATAGGAGTATAGCAACCGATGTACATACGTACGAGGTTCTACGTAGCGACTGACTGACCTTTTCCAGATAGCAAAACATAAATATTGTATGACTACGACATACATTCAAAACGTTGTTGTGATGTATATATTCCATAGAAATTGAAACAAAGCCTACCTCCGAAGTTTCGCGAAATAATTGAGACGAAGTTTCTTCTTTGAGATCAAGGGAATCAGTATGCTTTCGTCGAAAGTGATCCAAGATAAGTGTTCTAGATGGTGACTTCACAAAGCAACCAGGAAAAGTGCAGTGTACAAGTGAGCATAGATTTAATTTGATATGTTCTCCCCATTCCAACAATGTAGAAAATGTATTCATGCATTGACTGCATTGCAATTTGGGGGTCTCAGATGAACTACTATGTTGAGTGTCCCAGTGAATCTGCATATGTTGAAAACGATCAGTACTAAATTCATGAGAACACTGAGGTTTAGATGGACAAGAAAAGATTCTCGGAGATTTTGAAGAGGAAGGAGTTAATAAGTGCTGGGAAATGTGAATCATTAAATAATTTCGATGAACCATGGAGTCACAGTAAAGGCATAAATGGTTTTCAGTATTTGAATGATACTTCGTTAAATGTGAAACAAAAACTTCGGGATCAGAAGTACTTGAGTCAGGTTTATGAGATACATTTGATAGATAATTTAAATGGCCATCATTCAGCCCCTTGTTTTGTGAGCACATAGAACATGTAAAGCACCCTCGAGCACTTTCCAACAATTGAATATTTCGCTTTAAAGATGAACATGTAAGTTTTCTGTCATAACTTTGGACACTCATTGTCAGTATGTTCTAAACAGACCCTGTCATTTAATACAAAGAAAACAAAGTCACAATTACAGTAGTACTAAACAAATGTTAATTACTATAGGTTAATAAAACAAATACAAGATTACGTTTCAGATTTCGTATGAATTCACTTAAAAAGTAAAACATAATAACTGACTACGTACAGTTGTATTGATTTTATTATGTAAGACTAAGTGATAACATATAACATAAGTAGAATTGGAAAATGGAATTGGGACAATTTCGAATCGTTGATGAGAGTATCAACCCTGGTGACTTATAGAGAAGCAAACAACGTGAAATCTCATCAGTTGCACCTGTACGAGCTATCAATTACAAATGTACGAAGTAATGAGTACACGTCCATAACAAAATAAAATACTTTGATGCGTAAGCAAAGGAAGCGAATATGTATAGTCTATTTTAGAAAATTAATTCTAAACCAATAATGGACATGGGATCTTGAGGAAAAAAGCGACATCTAAACCTGATTCGGCTAAAGACAAGTAGACTGAGTCATATTGGTAGGTGTAGACTACCTGGTTGGGGACCGCGAGATGATAGCAACCGATGGTTAGAGACCCCGAATGACGGCTGAAAATCCTTTGCAATGGCGCAGGTGCATCCACTCTTTGTGTTCTCCCAAATTTTGATCTGCTAATTCCTCCTTGTCCCTTTCTTCATTCTCTTCCCAAGTTTATTTCACTGTATTATACTCTTTAAGTAACACTAATCTTTCCGATTACTGCTTATATTCTCATTACCTTTACCACTACGGGATTTGAATCGACCACTGCATCTCTGTGCTAATGTGATGTGGCAACTCAAACTGATGTACGTACGTACGAAGTTCTACGTTGTTACTGACTGACTGAACAGAAAGAAATCATCCAAAAACACACAAAAATAGAGACGAGATAAATGCAGTGGTAAGATATTAAAGCTGAAGGAAGTAAAGATGAAAAATATTTGCCTGAATATCCCTCAAAATTTTTAACTACTAAATCTTGTCATCTTAAATAACCGTCTATACATATGTCACAAGTAGAGGCTATTAAATTGATAAAGATTAGTACATATGAGACTATATACTTTACATATTATAGATACATGAGGAAATATTGAATAGTTTTTCAACAGTCACTGGGCGGCCGTTACTTCTAAAATATTTGAATACTTTATCAAGTTATACTGTATCGACAGCCATTTGCTATCCGTCAAGATTCTAGAAGACTTATTGGTTAAACCACACTTAATATCAGCAAGCCATATACAACATAGAACCAGATAGGTGCGTCAACTGAGATCCCCACAAACTATTAGCACAGCAGAATAAAACTATCAAGACAAAGCCCAGAGTAGTAGTAATAGTATCAGTATATTAAATATACAAAAAGTATAAGGGGATTTTGCCACCAGGTTCTAGGGGAAGACAAAAAGTGAATGCCTGAGCTATTGAGAACGATCCTGAGTGTCACCTGAAGTCTCTAATCACTGATCATGATAATCGCGAGGACCCCAAACAGATAATCTACACCTACCTACATGGCTCAGTTTATTTGCATCTTCAAAATGAGAATGCAAAAATTTTAAAATTTGTCCATGGAACAATGCCTCAAATTGCAGATGAATATCAGAATACAGAACCACTGGTTAATCGAGAAACCACAGAAATAAAACTGTCAGGATGAGTATGAGCTAGATTTAATGCTGTAAAAAATAAATCACCAAAAACGGACATTAACAACTCATGAAGGGGACGTGTATCAGTTTTGAGAAATGAAGTGGCTGGTAGACAACTACCTCAAAATACCCTGGTACGATCGAGGGTGGGGAAAGTCAGCTCTCTTTCGAAATGCTCTCACATGGCCACGCGTATACAGCCACTGACAGGGAAGTCCTACTCACTGTCCTCTTGCGGCGGGGTGTTTTTCACGAAGTTGAGGACGAAAAGTGAATGTCCAGCGCTGTAATCGGGTTAATGGGTAGGGAGGGTCCACCCAGGGAGGTTAGAGAACCGTGGTACACATTGCGTGCTGGACCCTTAGAGAAAAAAGGCGTGTGGACCAATTGTTGGTCAACGGTTACCATGCGACTGCATCTCCTTACGTTGTTCAACTGCCTTGTGGATTATATCTTTAGGTCAAAGGCCCCGGAGATGGCCCTCTAATAAAACCACCTGCTCCGCTTTGAGCACCCGGGAAATATTACAGCTCTTACACAAATCCATGAAAACTACTACTGGACACATTGTTGTTGTGTGGTGCATATGTAATTGGTGCCTCCTTGTATTAATGTTTACGTTCAAATGAATAAATAAATAGACAACTGAATTCCTGATATTTGCAATAAATTAACGACAACCACTTAGTGGTTCTGACACAAGCAAGCATGGTTTCGTTTACTACTCGAAAAGCATGCTTGATAGTCATGAACCAATACAGAAAGTGTATTTTTGTTAAGTGTGTACATTGCAAACGTTTAGTGAAACTACAGAAAGTTATATTTTTAATTTAAAATCTCCTTCGATGAACTACTGTCATAATACAGTGATGCAACAAAACGATGAGAATTTACACTGGTGAAAACTTTGTTAGGATTCAAAGCGGTAAGCAGAATTGTAACATAATCGAAATCCTCATACACTGATATAATCAAGATGTATGATATAGAAATTTAAACATTTTGTCAACTGCCACCGAATGAAGTGCTAACTAGCCATGATTTGTAAAGAAATCCTGATTTATAAAACAATACGGTAGTCTCAACGGAGATTATGTTTGCCGCAGTTCAAAATAACGATGTCTGAGAATACATAACTCACTTAAGCAAGTCATGAAGTTTTTTCACCATCTATTCATTTTCAAGCACCCAGGTTGATAAGCTAAAGACCTAAATATAGGGGTTAGATAGATGACTATCTGTGGTTACAACCAGAAATTAAGATTACATGAGGCAGTTAGAATGGACAATGTAAGAAGCAGACCTATGTACACAATTCTACCTTCTTTGCTTTCATAGCGAAATCATATTCACCGCTTAGAACACTAACCGTCAATATATCGACAAATTCTTTTGAAAGTACGAGAATTCACTTACAAACTAGTAAGTATGGTGATAATGGGTCAGCGTAATATCCGAACAATAACATCAGACGTGAATACTTGATTGATCTGAAAAAGGAATGACACCTCGAATCCCTGGTAAGACGACATCAGTACCAACAAACTTTTAACCAAGAGGGACGAGTGCGTCACCTTAATCAACTGAATGCATTAAAAGAAAACATATTCTGAAGGAATAGATCGCTTAAAGACCAATATGACAGAGAACAAACTGCATGTTAATAAAGGCTAAAGTACCCGAAAAGCGTTGACAGGAATAAAAAATATACCTTTCAGTAAACCGACACGAACATTAAAACCTGAAAATGTAAATTATTAGGTTGATGTAAAAAAACTGAGAATAATACTTTAAGGACAACTAAACACACTTTTAGAGTCGCGTGAAATCTGTTGATTTGATTTTTGAAATGTTTTGTACAATTATAGTCCCCCGAAAAAGCATTTGATAAATCCCGCTTTTGCAATCTTAACAGGGGGTCGTAAAACGCGCTTTTTCGACTCAGACAAACAAAAATGAAACAATCTGACACAGCATAAACAAATTGGATTTTTAGTAAGCAAAATAAACTTATATTTCAGCTACCTATCACTTTTCATCCAAACTTATATTTTGATCGTTTGTTTTGGTTTATGCGTTACTTCAAAGTTTGTTGTTCCCTATTATCGTTGTCAATGTCTGCTGCATCGAAGAGTTCAAATTAGAATTATTGTTAGTCCCAGCCCATTTCATGTGTAATATTTTGTTACTTTTATTTGTCGGTCTATGATTTATTTATGTCTACACTTGTGAGTTTTCAAAATAATGACATATATTGCACTTGCTCACAGATTGCAACATGCAAAGTAGGAAAACCTTTCAGTATCTAAATCAAATATCGCCTTGTGTTTTACTAGTATAATATATAAAAATATTCATCACTATTGTCCTACATTCACTGCGGGTTATATAAAATGTCAGCTCCTGATAAGTATCAACAGACACACATATTTCAGTTTATCTAGTAGTATCCCATCCAAAGATAGATTTGGATTCTTTCCGTCAGCTCAGCGTTTGCGTCATCTCTGGTAGGTTGAGTTAGATTTCGACCTAGTTTTCTTCCGATCTTTTGCATCATCATTATCTTTCAGTAAAAAAAGTTCTTGTATCTCTCGCATTGCAATTTTCTACAGGCTCAAAGGCTGATTATAACTAATTCCTCATCTGAGTCTCCCTCTCAGTTTGGTTTTGACAACACGATATTTCAATCGTCATCTATTGGGCTCAAAACGTTTAGATCCAGGATAAAATGTGGTTTCATTAGACCTCTATTTTTTAACGCAACTTTTTATTTCGCGAACTTTTGTTGGTAGGCTCGGTTTGGATTTACGTTCAGGAATAAATCTTTCTTATACATGTAGATTGTTTATACAAGCAGATTGTTTGTTAAACTTTATACGCCCTCACAATCCGCTTCATTTACTTTACGAAATGAACTTTTATCTCTTTTTAGCCAATAATAATTGGGGCACAATCTTTTACCTTATTGTGTAATATTGTTGGTGTATTCAAACTTCAGTATGTATGGTTTAACCAAAAACAGTAATTTTGATCTGTTCCTTTCTAGATTCTCCCTAAGTTTTGCAATATCCGCCCGTCAAAAACTTTACTGTTTGGTTGTTTTATCGGTATTTGCTTCCCTAAAGTAGGCCAAAAAGCCCCATGGCACTCGTCAATAAGGTAAGTATTTTGATTGCTTAGATGTTCTTATGATTAGATTCAACCGAGTCAAACTGTTCCACCTACTAGACGCTCAGAAAAGCTAAAAAGAGTTGGGTCTCTTGTGGAATTATTTGATTTCTTCGTTTCGAATGAAGGGGCGGTTATTGATACTGTGTCCGTTAACACCTTCTTATATACCTATCGCATATTTGCTGATATGGAATTAGTTTTGGAAGTTGTAAATAAAAAGCAAGTATGACTTTGTATAAACTGTATAATAATCCGTACAGATTTTGGGATACATGCCATTCAAGCCTAATACCTACCTCTTGGAAAGTTGGGATTATTTCGTAAGTCTCTTTTGTGAATGGTCTGCCTCTGTATGTTGTACATCCTCTTGCATTTAGCTTTTCACCATGGATCTACCTACTTCGTTTTTCGTAGTGTGACTGAATAAATGTGAATCCTCTGGCTTAACTGATAAAGGAACAACTACCCACACGAAATTTACCATACGTTCTCAGCCTGCTAATCAGAACACCTGAAGGACTAAACAAGCAGCTCACATTACTGTGTATTTTTCAGGCTCTAAAGCTCACGTTATTACATACTTAAAATACAAGACTATGATTTCCCATGAATATGTACCATAATATGTGCAAATCCGGTATGTTTGCGATATAAATCTCGATAACGGGACTATAGCTGATTAAAAGTAGTTTAAGAATGAAGAAAAATATGGAAATAGGTAATAAGTTTTAAAATGCAATTAAGATGACACAAAAAATTATTTGATAAATATGTATCCTCTGAGTCGCTAGAGAACATCGTCCAAACTTCCCTATTTCTACTTATTCACCCATTAATAGCAAAATCTCCGGTAGGTAATGTTTTTACTTTCGCAGTAAATGTTTAATTTTTCAAGCATTAGTTTGCTTACCCGATATTGTAACGAATTAGTGAATTACTAACATTATCGAAAAATATGTTACCTGTTGTTTTGATAAAGTGTTCGCATATGTTAAAACTGAGTTTCTTACTTTGGATTTATGGATTTGTCAGATATTCGGGACATATTTGACATCATCACTATCGTATATCTTGTTGTTAATTCTACAAGGTTCCTTTAAGATGTAGTATAGTAAAGGGCAACTCGTGTTTTACGTACTGAGGTTCGGGATTAAGTTCTAATGTGATGAGTTTTTCTTTTTTTGTTAAGCTTTTGTTTTATCCTTTAACATAAATATTTTTTTGACTATTTTATGTATATTTTTCAAAGACCATGGGAACACTCGTTATTACATTCATATTTGAATTTATTATTTCATGTACTGATAAAATTGAACTGGGTGCATGACAAAACAAGTGCTTACTTAATACTTGCATACAAGCTTTCTGGTGCCTTTAACTAGATGTTCGCTGATACAAACCCCACTATAAGGCTAGGTTTTGGTACAGATTAATGTCATTCATCCTTCACTAGCTCACCTGTGACTTGTGCTTTTTTGTTGTGGTCAGTTATTTTCCAGTGATTTTAGATCTCTATCACTTTATAAGAGTATTTTGTTTGACTGAATTTTCATATTTAAATTACATGGATCATCTCGAAGTTGTTTGTATTCCTCATCAGAATGTTAGCAATTTATCACCCATTGTTTTCAAAAATTGTTTTCTGTGAATAGGTCTTTTCAGTATTTTCTTGGTGCATGGTTGCAGCAGCCTCATGTAAAAGATTTTGATTCCCCACAGAAAATTATCCATCTTAAATGGCTAGTGCGGATTCTTGCCGGTTGGTTTGATGTTTTTCATCCCTCTTATAATCAAAACAGTCACAATTATGTTCTAAAAGAGTTGATGAGGTACTGTGGAAATAATGTGTCTTATAAAAATCAAGATACGACGCGAATTGTTTTGTACAACATTGATTCAGAAGTTTGGGATCGAATTACTACAGATATGGAGTATTTATGCCGACAAGCTGTAAATTGCCTCAAAATCATAGCCTGTAAATATCAAATAGACTTAACTCGGGAAGAACAATTATCGTCAGTGCGTATAATCACCATAAATCGAGGTAAATGTTAATTCTGTATAACGTCTACTAATGTATATGTATATAAAACTGGATAACATGTGTAGATATTTCATCTAATTACCATTGTAAGATAGTTTAAATTTATATTTGTAACACAGTAATTAAAATTGCATAATCGAATTATATATATATATATATATATATATATATATATATATATATATATATATATATATATATATATATATATATATAATTTTCTACTATTACGATTTATTTTGAAAAAGTTACGTTACTAAGAGTTTTTAACTTTTCTCTTTTTCGTAGTCAGTTGTCATCATTCACCACACAACTCTGCAATGCATAAATCAGAAAAGCATTTAAAAGAAATAATTACCATCACACCTTCTATTAACCCCTTAATTAATTTATGGAATTTAAATTTAGATACAGTTGCTGAACAACTGACTGTTGCTGATCAGGTAGGAAATTTTATTGAATAACCTGGTTATTTTCATATGAGATTTTGATTAGAAATACACTTTATATAGACATTTTTTACTATTTGTGTGCAAAAACTCACCCTATAGTAACACTACCTGGACAATTTTGATGATAAATGGCCCAAATGAGACATTTTTTTATCTAAGTGTATTTCGGTTATCACGAAGTATTGGGGTCTACGACGTTCACTTCTTTCCATTTAAGCCTAGTTATTTGGATTTGTCTGATTCCCATTGTTGTTTTCCTTTGAACTTGAGACATTTATCCATGTAAATAAACACTGAAGTGTTAGGCACTAAGCTTGTGAGTTACACCAGCCACTGATGGGCAAGGAACTATATATTTTCCAGTTTTCGAAAGTCAGGATATAATTTTTATGTTTATGTTGGCTAATCATCTCAGTCTTAAGTCTTGTAAACATGGATACAAACAGCCTTTAGCTTTCACTTAATTTTTAATTAGAATCTGCGTTTAATTCTGTTTTTAAACTACCTATTGGCTTTAATATGTTTTTCTGTCTTAGAGATTATTTCTCGACATGGAGTTAAATGATTGCCTGATATATGCTAGAGGCAAACCTGCTCCATCCGTGCAAGCTACAATCGACCAATATAATAAATTATATCATCTTGTCCAAAGTTCAATGTTTAACTCAGATCAGGATTTCCCAATACTAGTAGAACCTACACCGATCTATTCAAGACGTTTTAATAAACGAGGTAATTATAATAGTCCAACGACAAGAGTTAGTCCACAGATAATAACGATATGGTCTAAAAATTCACCTAATCATAATTCTTTGGCATCGGATGTGGGAAAATTAAAAACTGGATGCATAATTACATGGATTGATATTGCTTATGTAAGTTCGCTGTGCGGTGAGTGATAAATTTTTTTTCTCAACGTAATTGTGTATTTACTTTAAACTTTCTTTTTGGGCATATTAGGTTAGTGGGTTTGTTGTTATTCTTTTATTTGATATTTAACAAGAATATAATGACTGATCAATTTGCACGTAGTAGAGCTATTTTGTACTTGTTTAGATATTGTATTTTAGGTTACAAGTTTAATTCTATATTCAACTATATTGGTTGCAACGTAAATCTGTCTTATTTATCACTACTTGACATTAATGGAGTTCTTGAGGTAATTGTACCTTTATTACGGTTGACGTTTGTAAGCCTGATTCATTTTAACTTCTGAGAGTTCTACAAATTAAAATTTAGTATGAGAGCTCTTGGAAAGTATAGTTTGACCAGTGTAATTGTTAGTCAGCGCACTAGGCGGTGATTATTTGATGATTATTTCTAACAGCGTTATTATTTGATACCCTATGTTTTTCTCTAACTTCAGATCATGTTGGGCATGTTTCTAACTTTATGTAATATAATTTAGTTTTCTTATAAGGATTATTAGACGCATGTTTTACATGTACTTGAATTTCTAGTAATAGCTCGGGAATTCAATAACTCATCTAACAGTTCTCATAAACAAAATGTTTCTTCTTTTCACTTAACACTAGCTTATAACAAAAATATAATGTTTTGTGATTTCCTCAACAAAAATGACTCAAGTTACTTCCGAGATCAATCACCATTTTAGCTTATGTGAAAATAATTTATCTCCGGTATACTTTATTCACTTGTTGTTACTTTAACGTACATTGCTCAATATATTATCGGTCTTATTGTACTACATGCCTATATTACATGTGAAATAAGCTAAATTGGCAGCGATTGATTATAGACATATTGGGAGCTCCACCTACATGTAGTAAAATTATTGAATGGGAGATCTGTGGGACAAGTCAGTGGCAATTAGTAAACTGTTGGATAGATAAGTAAATATCTGCTAAATAGGATTTTTACATCATGTTATACGGATGCCTTTTTGAAACAAAATTATTGAATGATACTTACTAGCAGAGTTATCAATCAAATATACTTGTTTGCATGTTATCGTTCAGTTTAGCAGTTGCATAACACTGGCTTAAACTAGGATCAATTATCCACTTCACAAATTTTTACTTGTTCCTTTAATCTATAGATCACTTTTCAGAGCAGGAACTTAATCATTTGTTTTACTAAAGATAAATTCAATGTCTGTTTCTAGATTCCCTAAATAATGATTGAAGTAGAGTTTTGTCGTGCTGCGAAGTGCATTTACAAACCCTATATGTGTATTTTAGTTGGTAAACCACTTATCCAACTACAATATAATCTGAGTTTCGACTCAAATTTGACTCGCATTACCCATCATCATAATGGGTAATGTGAAAAATTATCACTATCTAGCTAAGTTACTCAGTTAATCATCATTACATTCTTTTGTTTGTATTTAAATTAACACAGAACCTTAATAGATAATGTGGTTTGGAAATCCATTTCAGATTTACACCAAATTTTACGTCAGTTTTACTGGTTCTTCTGGACCTGTACTGCATGAATGTACTACTTTTTTCAGAATTCTAGTGTAATAATACTATGAATATTTTAAGGTTGGTGGCTAGAACTTGCATCTTCCCTATAAAATATGTTTTCCATTATGTCTATTTTTTTCCTTTTTTTAAGCGATTAGGACAAACAAGAAATTATTCAGCATTAAAAGCCATAATTATGGCTTTGCAGTCCACTCCAGTACTCCGATTATGGCATAGTTGGAATGTTTTAGAATAGTGAGTTAAAAAGATTTGTATATTAAAAAAGTTTCTTATATCTTATCTTTTTCATATTACGTATATGATTTATTATTATTATTATTATTATTATTATTATTATTATTATTATTATTATTATTATTAGCTTTATTCAATATTATATTTTTGGTACAATATAGAATTATCAGCGTAAAGTATTTCAACAAGTTTCCGTTTCTTTCTTCTTGGTCGGTCCTGGCAATAAATATCGAGCGATCGCCAGTTAGATGTTAGCAGTTCAGTAAATGATCATCTGAATAATGTCCATTCTTTTCGCTGTATATTGCCAGCAACCACATTGTCTCTTAATGAGTTTTTTTGTAAGTTTGACAACGAAAGGTTGTACAATTTTTAGAAATGCACCAGGATAGGTTATGCGATTAATAAACATAATGATATATTAAAACAAACAAAAATAGATAACTTGTTGATATATCTAGATGGCAGGAACAGGTAGCCCAGATGCTCAAGCAGGCCGCCCTTTATAGGTAGTAAACTATAGAAAGATTTATTTCAAATTGCTCTTTGAATACTTTTCTTATTTCACAAGCATATGCTAATGAAAGTGATAGAGATTTTCAAATTGCTCTGAGTTATTCTACTCTTTCCACATCTGTGTTAATCTTATTGGTTTAGCATGTTTTATACTAATGTCATGTGATTTTTGATCGGCTTTAATATTTTCACAACTAGATAAATCTAATTCATATGATTCTTCAGCAGTTTCATTTCGCTTTGCATTACTTATTAGTAAAATCGGTATCTGGTTCCAAATATTCTTTATTAATATATTTTAGTATACTTTTATTCTGATAAATGATTCATATAAGAACGTTACGAACGTTAATAGTAAATATATTTTTATATTTCAATAAGTAGACGTTTCATGACTTAATGTAAGCCACTTGCTCAGAATAAATAAGTAGTAATTATTGCCAACAACAAAGTTAGTAGTTAAATATTTTAGAAAAAAATAATCCAATGTCAACGTTTTCGATTTTCAACCAATGGGTTTCACATTCAAGCTCCCACTTCACCTATATATATATATGAGTTAGCCTTAAGTTCCTATTCCAAAACTCTTACCATTTCACGAAGCGAACCTAGAGGGCACAACCCAAAACCAACTTTTGGTGAATGCATGTATTTACATCAGATCTTTTCCTGAGTCCCATTTCTTAATTCAGATTCAGTCTCATCAGTTGTATAATTTATGCTCAAAGTTACTCTATTAGTGGTCCCATCATACATAAATATTGTTTGGAACTTTTTGATCTAGGATAATCAACTTATATGTATACTACAACCTCTTGCATATTTTTTCCCTTTCATGTAAACGTGAACTCAGTCATTATCATGAACATTTTATGAAGTTTAAATATTTGGCTTCTGTAGTAAGCTTTGATAATAATCAAGAACAATTGAGAAAACGGTTAGATAAGGTAGGCTTTATTATTATAACTATTTGGATGATTAAGAATATTATTATTACCGTTATTGTTATTGTTGTAATTTCTCATACAAACAAACTGAAAACCATATATCTTTTTATTACTAAGGTGGACATCGCTTGAAAATCAACTAGTGTTGCATTTGTTTTGTTCTAGTTCTACAAACCTTAAATGATTAGTAATTGTATTCTATATTAAATAAAAAATTGAACCGTAACAGAATTTAAAGTTATCTAAACACTTGAGTAGTTGCTTATTTCATTGGTTGATTAGACAAGTTTTGTCGTAGATTGTAAAACGCCATTAAAATGTTGATCTTAGTTCTGTATACCAATTTCGATTATAGAAATAGATGAAACTCTACGCATAAGGTTTTAAATCGTTTGTACTGTTTAAGTTCTCTTGTTTTTCCATTTTTAAAAATAAGAATACTGATCTACATATGGGAGATTTCCTAACTGTTTTAGTTGAATTCCCTCCGTAATTAATATCTGTCATACCATTTATTCACAGTAGACGCTTATTTGTGTACTTACAAGTAAAGACGTAAAACATTTCTTTTGATAATCAAAAAAATACTAACGCATATAAACTTTATTGATCCTTCTCAATTCTCATTTGTTAAGAAGCACAATGCAAACATCAGTGTCAGCAGTTATTGTCTTCTGCACGTTTCACTATATAGAAAATCAAAATTATCTAACTCAAAAAGATAAACAGTAAACGGTATACGTGTATGAATTCACCAATAGTCTTGTGTTCTGTTAACTGATGTTACTACGAGTAGTAATAATATCAATGTCTACACCCTTCAAATTGGATATATGGAAGTCAGTAAAAATGAAAATATTTCCCCAGTATTAAACAATCAGTAATCAAGAATTAAAAAATCCGATAATGTTCTGGGTTAAATCCATGTTTTATCATAGATTCATCAAATCTTCGAATGGTTGTTTTTTCTTATTATCTTTAACAAAAGCTCACATTATAGAAAAGTTTTGTTGTGAGGGGATCGAAAACACTTTAATAATGTAAAGTGACTATTCATAAGTATAACGTGGAGTAACTGAAAACATATACTTTAAATCGGTTGATCGTTCTTTTACCTAAAATTAGCTGACGTTTATTATAACTTCGAAGCTTTAGATTTTTACCAAGTGGAGAGATCCATCTTACATCAGATGTGTAAAAACCAATAATGTCCAATATTTTACAAGAAAGTTGTGCAAGGAAATCTTAGTCATTTTTCTTGAAGCCATTGATTAGTTTTTATTCTGTTGTGTAACAGTTATTATTTACATTCAAACTGTTGATCTTCATAAAAAGTATGCTATTTATTACACTCCAATTTTCGTTGATTATCGTCACTCATAATGTAGATGTGAATTAGTATCTCATACTCCACTTTACCTAATTCACTTAAATGTTTTGTGTGATTGCTTACATTAAGTACATAACTTCCATAGGCTTGTGTAATATAGATTCTAAAATGATTCCAACCATCGCATGAATATACAATTCACATTATAGTTTGAACGACCAATACTGTGGAATATTCAAATATTTCCTATCTAGTTATGTACTGGAACTCTTGATCATGATAGCAGTAATGATGACTGTTATTTTTATATTATGTTATCAACAAAACAACACTTGGGAGGATATGTTTAATTTTATTCAAAATAAGTATCAATCGGTTTAATCACTTAGCTGTCATTAAATTGGAGGTTCAAGTCTTTTTTCATTTATAGAAGTTTAAGAGCGTAGATATTATGGTTATCTTTGATGATATGCTTGCAACTTGAGTTTTTCGATTAAGTTGATGAATCAGTGCATTAGTTGCCCAATAGCGACCAACTGTTTAAATTTCTATTTCAGTTATGCACTGGTAAATAATCCATGTTTTTCTGGTAATAAAACATAAGTTCTGTAGGCTCCGTTTAAAATTACAGCCAAACCATTAGATGTACGTTTCATTTTTACCCTTACCAGTTTATAATATCGTCAGTATGGGGTTGTGGAGATGGTTGAATTTCGTTGATATCATGAACCAATCCACCACTAAAACCTCGGTAGTATACTGAACAACCATTTTGTCCTAGTATGGGACTCCTAAGCAATATACATCCACCATCTCACGCTCATAACTCATACCCAGAACCTTCGATCTCGCGTGCGAACGCTTAACCTCTGGACCACTGGGCCGGCATCCTATGGTGTTAATGTCTAACTTTAATCAATCCATGACATTGTGCGACCATCTTTCATTGTCTTCAATAAGTAGCTACCTCACACCATACATGGACTAGCTGTACTGGTTACGACTCCGGAAATTTACTCCTGAATATAGTCACTAGTGAGCAAATATTGTTCAATTCATATCTAGATATGTACCTATCATTATCGTTTCATTATATTTGGTTGGTCAAAGGAGCATTATTGTGTCATGAGTTAGAAATACTTGGAAGTATTATTTGTTGCACTTTGGTCTTATAATTCACATTTTGGTTGTCTGATTTCGTGATTTGAAGTTCTCAATTTTTTTGAGAAGATAGTTTTGAACATATACTTAATATATTCTAATTTTTTCCCGCCAATCAACTGATATTGGATTTTGAAAGAAATCGTCAAGTTTTATTTGATTCAATAATGATCAATAAAACTATAAGAAATTCACTTTTACTCAAATAAGTTATTTCCAACTGCATAAATATTCCGTTTCTCCTTACTCACTTCTCACTATATATGCTTGTGTAAATGTATCTACGTATTTGAATAAATTATCTAATTTTTAGGACAAAAAAACTTATTTACTTACTGTGTTCCTTTTTTTGTATTCTGATACAGTGTGCGAACAAAATGTATTGGTACTTAAAACTCAACAATCCAAATCCATTATGTGTAAGTTTTGTAGAATTATTCTTTGATAATCTCCTCACAGTTAATATGTTAGAGGCAGAACACTAATTCAACAAACGTAATTGGTACCAAACATATACAAGTTTACGATACTTAAAGTGTTGTTAACGAATTTTCGAATATAAAAAAAATACTAGTATTTCGTAAAATATTTTGAACTGTCCGTAAGAAGATAAACGTTGCTGTGTTAGCTTTCTGTATTTTTCGTCTGTAAATAATCTTGGGAAACAAAAAGCAAAGTTGCACATCAACAATAAGAATTTACATTTCCGAACTCAAGAATATGATTTTTCTGGAATATTTTCAACAGTCGTTTATTGCGTAACCATGTTGTATGCCATCAAATGCATTCGCTCAAGATTATAATATTTTGAGTAATTATTTGCTAGTTTTAAACAGCCAGAAGTGTGTTATGTGAGTGGTTTGTACTATACATCAGTATTGAAGTGAATGATGATATATTTACATGTTAACTGAAGAAAGATCTTAGTGTTCCCCCATAAATAGTTTGATATATATATAATATACAAATTATTCAAATCAAACTTTAGCATTTAAAGGTCAAGATTTCGATGTATGGTTCATGCGTTTCAGTTATTTACGTCCTATTTACTTACATGTTATTCATAAAGGTTTGCCTGAATACATTCTTGGCGATGACTTTTTAAAGGTAGTAATAAAGTCCATTTTTCTGAATACCTTCAATGAATTGTTACGTCCATAGGCAGAATTAGTCCTGGTGTAATGAAAACTAACGTGGCATATTACCAACTTGAACTACATTTGATAATTTCATAAGATGTGTTCAACTATAAAAGGTGAAGTGTACAATATTGACGATTGTTGTAATGCAGACAAAATATTGATGCGGGCTCTGCGTAGATAGATTTTTATGAGAAACAGTTTTATTATCATAGTACATAAATTTAGTTTGTAAACTTTAGGCTTCCAGTATATGAGATTATTATATCAATCATGACAATTTATGAGATTGCATAGCTACACACATTAGGTATAAAGTACAAATTGATATTCAGAAGACAGGTGTTTTAATGTTTTCATATACCCTTATAAATATTCATGTATATTAGAGTACAGCCTAACAACAATCAATTTGAAAACAATATTGTTCACTTATATGTATCGTTTGTAAAATCATATGCAACCAAATGGTACATATATGATTTGAAATCAACACTACTGTTGGGGATACTAGATCACCAAAAATCACTTGACAAACGTCTCATTTTTGTAATTTTATTTTGAAGTCTTGAATTTCTCTTTTTCACGCCAAAAGCGCCCACTCTTACCTTCAGTTTGTATTTTCCGCTTGGAAGGACCTAAAATGTTAGTGGTTCATTTCCTCTCTTAGTACTCTATTTTGTGACGTTTTCCAATGAGATTTTTGTACTATACATATATATATATATATATATATATATATATATATATATATATATATATATATATATATATATATATATATATATACGCATAAGTTGTGTGCTTGTTCATTCGTGCTTCCGGGCTACCTGTAGAATATACATCTCCCTCGGCTGAATTTGGTCTTCTCCATCTAGTTACCAGGGCTGGGATGCAATGAAATAGTTTAACTTGTCCTGTTGTTGTGCTACTAACCTTCGTTTCGTTCGCCTGTTTTAAGTGATATCTCAATCTCTTCAAACGTAGCAACTACAATATTCAGCTTAGAGTGAATTTTAATTTGAATCTTCTTACAATCCTATCCGAAAGTCACTCTGTATATGACCTTCCAAAAACAATGAATACAACAGATATATTAGTTTGTTGATAAATAAAAATAAACATCCATTAATACATTTTTCTGTTTTGTCAAACAAACATGTGATAATAATCACTTCAGTCAATAGTTTTCAGTAAGGCCACTGTTATTTATTTCAGTATGTTTTTCCTCTATGTTTATGTTTTTTGAAATTTCAAATGTACTTTTAAGCCATCTGTTTATGTTTCCTTTTTAATCGGTACTGTTGTTGTGTTTTTTTCATTTATTTAAAAGCTATTGTTAGGCAGAGTTGAATGATTGTATTGTAAGAGAACTTTCCATGATATTCAATTGGTTGTTTGATCTAAATATGGTAAAATTGTAATCAGTAGGATATAACTTGTGTTGTTCTACATATGTTCAATAAAAATTACTGCTTTGAATCCTTATTGTTCACAGTTAATGCTTAGAGCCCATTGACACAAAGCCCTGAATCTATGTTCTCTGCAGGTTTTTACTCTTCAAAATTGAAGAGACTAATGTGCTCGGGAAAATTTGAAACATAATACATGGTGGCTCAGTTAAAGATGTTACAATTAAGTTATTCGTTTTCCAACCGAATTTCTAACCATACTCATCACCACCGACTAATATCTGATGTCATACTGTCTCTAGTCTTTAATAGCAATATAATTTATCGACTAGTTTGCAGTGTTTCCACTGAAATAAGTAATTTGACTTCGTAGTACACCGTGTTGGCTATCAGAAGTTTCGTGATATTCTGGTATTATGCATAGATTATTTGAGTACAGGTAAGTTTACATAAAAAATACCAGTAAAAATTCGACGAATAGATTAAAATTAACCAGTATCTTATATATATCAACCACTTAGAGATTCTGAACAGATCCATGATTTATTCATTTACTCAACTCCACAATTTGTTGACTTATTGCTCTTTTCGATTCTCCCAAACTATCATATCTTTTATATTGCGTCTTATCTTTTCTTTTGGATTATTTAATACGATCTACTTTTGATACGCACCTACCGACTTTCTCGTTTAAATTACATAATGAAATGGTTTCGGTCAATATAATTTTCAAGTATTTCATAAATTTCTAACAAACCATTAACAATAAGTTTGTGTGTATATTATTAACAAATTCATTTCCTTTTCTTACTTTTTATCAACTTCAGCAGAAATCCTTAAATTACAATAGACTCAAATTGTTCACTATTTACTAGTTAATCAACTGTAAATATCTTAGTTCTACAGATCAGTTGCAGCCAGTATACTTTAATAGTAACGTTTCGGACCGTGAAGCTAGGTGGTGCAGATTTGAATCCATCAGGGAGCAACAGTTCCTTAAAGAATAGAGCTACACCTTACTGACGAACGCCAAGCAACAAGAAACCTAAGTCTAGGGTTTCTTGCCGGTCACCTTTAAACACCTGACATTTGAATATAACACATGCGATATCGAGTCAATTAAACTAGTGGTTACATTGGGACTTGATTGATATAATTTGATTAGCACTAAAGGACTAAATAAGCATGACCTTGGTCTCTATTCATCAGTTGATTAGTTACAAATGAGCTCCTTTTAAATTATTTTACATAAAAGAGCACAACGTTCCGATAAAATTACAGCAATACAATCAAAGTTGGTCGGTGATTCATAAAATATAATTAATGATTCTGGAAAAAGTGGAAAATAAAATGTTTAGACAGAAATTAAAATTAGATAGTCATACTCAAAAGTTAACTCAGTAAGGAAAAATGAGCTGAGTAACAGTTGTTTCAAGGTTGCAAACACTACTCGCTTGCTATCTAACATCCAAAAAAGTACACAATGATTTCGAGCCACTTAATTTATTGCTCATACAGAAAATTTGATTAAGTGAGTTCAATCAGAACTAGGGAGTAAGCAGTAAAACATCGGTTAGTATCCAATCGTAATGCCAAAATGACAGATCATTCATAACCTATAAAACTCACAAATGACGTTCTTAATTGTTTCATTGGATGACGCAGGTCTAAATCTCTTTGGCAGTATTATTTCCTCTAGGGTCGAGGGCATACTGTATTGACGTTTCCTAATCAGCACACAATAGATGTATCTGTTACCAAAGCGAAGTAAACATAGTATTTACTGCATATATGCTACTTTAAAGTCTTGGTATGCTTCTGTTTTATATCTTGTTTCTATCATATGCTTTTATTACTATCTCTAATGTATTAATTACAACTATTTAATCTAAGTATTTTAGATTCGCTATACTTTGCTCATTTTTTGCTTCTGCTGTTTAGGGAGACATCAGCAGACCTGGTGATATTTCACAATTTGAAGATTCTGATACAGAATATAGCAGGAGAACTAAGCATTCAACTTTAGTGAGTGATCAATTCATGTAGCTCGTGTAAACATATCATGTCGAATATTTATATCATTTCTAAATAAATCTCCAATCACAGATTGATATCATTGGAAATCAAAATGTATTGAACAGTTTTCCTTTTATAGTTGGAGACGTTTTTTTTAATTTTCCGTGTCTGGCATACTACGTAATTTAAAAATTATGATTCATACTATTGGTAATGGTTTGTTATTATGCTGTTGTAAATATCGTACCTTTTCAATATGCTATTGGCTCTCTGGACTCTGTATTCCAATGGATAACGCACTAGTTTTTGTAATGAATGGTATTAGGTATGAGTCTTGGTTTCTATGCCCACATTCGGTTGCAGGTGCCTTCATCTGAATTCTAAATAGGAAAAAACGCACGTCCTGAATATGATTGCTTTAGCTATGTAGCGTCTGAAATTTGTGCTGTTGCGTTCATTTTTGGCTTTTAAAGACAAATTATAGGTATCCATCTGCAAAAAGCTGGTATATTTTTTATCCATGTACCTTAAACTTTGCATTGTTTATTGGGATTTTCCTCTCAAAATTTACAACTCATTACCAATTACCTATACAGGTACTCCGTAATGTGTTATATTTTTTCAAGGAAGATGTAGTGATAATACCCACTTGCCTAAATCGAATGGGTATAAGATTTGTTGAAGACTGTAACAACGATCATTTAAAGTTACCTGTTTTAACCACTAAACAAATGTTTAACTTACATGACTAATTTCTGACCATAACTTCTACTTTGGAATATTTACGCACTAACATTAACGTCAAATGACTTTTTATTTGCTTGTTTATTTTTAATCCTTACATTTTCAGCCAAATCAGTCATCCTATTTAAGTGGTGTCATACCGTATCTCGGTGTATTTCTTAGTGATTTAACTTTATTGCATCATTCGTCACCGGATTATATCAGTCGATCAAAATATTCCCCATCAAATGAGAATAAACAAGAAATTAATACAAATAATCAGGAAAGTGCTCTCGCTTCTACTACTACTACTGATGATAATAATAGCAATAATAATATTAATTCATCAGTAATCAATCCAACTACTAATACTAATGATTTTTCAAAACGATCAGTTAAAAATCAGTATGGTAAAATAAAGCTATTGCATATATCAGATCAACTTGGGAATTTTACCCGAAGTACACCTGATTTATCAGCAGTAATATCATCGACATCAACCGTGCAATCAGATAATAACAGTACGAAACAATCCTGGAAATTATTGAAAAATGTATCATCGAATACAAATGTCCCACCTATTAAATCATCAGTTTCTGCTGATCGTAAAGATAATATCCAATTGAATGGGCGTGTCAAGGTAAATGTAATTTAACAAATTGTTATGGAGATTATTCTGTTGTTCTTTTGCTTGGGCGAAACAGTTGAAATTATAATTTAATGATAATGATTATCATCATTGTCACTACTGTTATCGATTTCGTCCAAAATATATTCCTCTGATTGATTTACGTGATTTAGTTTTGAAATGGCATGTAATCAATAAAATGGATGCAACGTGGATAAATTGTCATACTAACCATATTTTAAGGAATCAGATCGATATCAATTTATCCCCTTACTATTGGTTGTTGTATTCTTAGACCGATAAGCAACCACTTCACCAAACCATGGTGTTATTCATATTTCTTATTTGTTGTTCTTTAATTTTGCACGTTAAGTGTACTGGTAATGAATATAAATGAGAAACAAATACTTATGCTGTTCAGTAGTATCCATCATTTACTAGTTCACGTTGGAATTTTTTAGTTTGATTTCTACGGCTTTGGCCTGATTTGGCCTCTGTGACAGAGACAGGAACCTATGGTTGATCTTTATAAGTAAAGGACTTTCCTGGGTTACAATTTTTTATCACAAATGTCTTATGAAAATTACGTGTGTGTGTGTATTAGGACTGTAATTAACGAATATTCAGATGGGGATATCCAAATGTATTTTTACTACAAAATCACAGAATGTCTTGGTAAAATATGAGAACCATACAATGAATACTTCATTTGCGAATTTCCATTATTTTTCCATCAACTTCTGTGGGGTTCTTCCTATTCGCAATTCCTTTCTACTCTCTTCAACTTGATCTTCTTAGCCTTCTGCTACCAGAGTTTCCACTTCCGATTGGTGTTACATACTACTTATGTCGACAGACATAAGAAGCATACACCACAGGATCCACCAGTCATTATTAAAGTTAGACTTAGGTTATTGGACACAAATAGCAAAGTGCTTGGTAAGATTGTGAATCCTCACCAACTAAGGTGGTTAGGATGTATAATAGGTATAGTCATTCACAAGTATGATGATGACTAACTGGTGTAGGAGTAGATTGGAAGAAAGCTAGGTGCACCTGAACACAGACATGTAATAGATACGATAAGTCGTTTATTGTTCGTTTGAGACATGTGATCAGGTTTAGACCACATCTTTAGATTCCACATGATTACCACAACCAGGAACCTTTGGTTAGAATCGGTCCCCAAAACCTGAGTTTCGAAGATATTTTTTACTTTGTATTCTACAGATTCACTCTTTTTTTCCGAAACTAATTCTCTATATCCATTCCTTTTATAACCATTTATTCTACTACTGCCTAGCGTTTTTTACCAGGGTTCTTTTCTATAGGATGCAGTTATCACTCCATGCCCAACTCTCATCTGTCATCCAGACAGTAACCGTAATAAGGTTTCAAAAGGAGATGATACTACTTCTACTACCCTGATATTTATATTGTTAATCTAGTCTCACTTTCGTAATACGATGTGACAACTTGGACCAAATAACATATGTGTCAGGCTTTTTGTTGATTATAACTGATTGGTCATTGATCAGAAATTTTAATCAGTTATATATAGTATTCATTTACGTCCAATCAATTGCTAATATCACTACGTCGTTCATACTTAGTGAGAACAATTTAGTTCCTTGAATTAATATTGTTTTAAAATTCTAACTAAACTAACAATCTGATACTTTTGCATTCTTACAATCGAAGAAAATCAATATCACTAATGCTAACTTATATATAGACTGTTCACTAATTCATTAACATTTATCTGTTAAGATCAAAAGTTCATCATGAAAACGTTTTTTTTTCTCAAGTATCTAAATAATGACTATGACCACTTTTACGGGGTTGTCTCCGGTAAAACAGGATCAATCATTAATTTCATATTATTGATCTACGTTGTAAATATCATTTTTACTGATATGACACTATCTTTCCTTTTTGGGTAGTGTTTTTTTATTTAGTATAACTTTTCAGCGGGTTAATAATCAACGGTAATTTCCAATCAGACTGTCTCATTGTGAGACATCACTCACGTGTGTCACATGATTAGAAACGATTTGACCTTATAGTAATGATGTCTATAATGATAATAATAGCATAAAATACTTAATTAGTCATTAAAAAATGCAATGGATACTTTAAAATCATCATTGTTACGTGCAATTTCGTAATTTGTTTGGAAATTTTTCAATACTGGTCAGATATTTTATTTGAAGTAAACTATTGTTTGGTGTATCAATCACCGTCTTAATCTTCAATCTCAACTAGTCGATTAAATTAAACAAGTCATTGTTTCATGAAACGGTGGCTCAAATGTTTTTGCGTTTGACTTTAAGCCGCTAATTCACAAGTTGGAACTTCATTCCACTTACCTCGGTTTAGGTAACTGAGTAGTCTCACTAATCATTTAACATTGTAATCAAATACATTCTAGAGAGATTTACTTGTGCTATGTAATAAAAAAACGTGAACAAAACAAGTTGTACTAGTAATCCTTATTTAAGTAATTGGCAGCGATTAAGTTTCAACAGTGTCATCAATTAACAATAGAGATCCACACAAATTTTAATTGCTGATGCCTCAGGTGAAAATGAGCCATAATTTGCTATTGTGTGTTTAAATTAAACTATTCTTTGACCTATAGTTCGGTTCTCAATTGTTGGTCTGAATTGTGTATCTGTATATCGCGTGATCTAACCATCAAGTATCATGATATATGTTGTTAGTGTGTTTATCATCTTAACTACCAGTCAATTATCTATTCTAGTATCGTATCGACGATATTTATTTATTTCATTTCAGCAACATATTTTTCTGTTGCTTGTACCATTCAGTACTCTCTTGAGTAGTTGTCATTCATCAAAGTATTACCTTCAGTTCATATCTTACTCTTTAATAGACTGTCTCATTGTTGCCCTCGTTCACGTTGTAAACATATAACTTATCCAAAAACCGTAAAACTATTAGTCTTATATTACCGATTTTTGAAAATCTCAAGAACTTCACGCAGTCTTATCAATGTATACCTATGGAAATAACTATTGTTGATCATTCAACTTCAATTACACTGTAATAATACTTTATCTATCCCTTTCCTTATCTTCACTAAACAGTTTCAGTTTGTGTGTTTTTTATGATAAATCAATACTGTAATCTTTTTTTCTCAAACTGTAACAGAATAAATCACTCATGTGATTCAACCTGCCTAACTACACTAATATTTTCTTTTAGATATTTATAATTGCATTACTATTTATTCTGCTTCATTCTGATAATTTTATTAAGAAGTAATAAGTTTTCAAAGGATCATCTCCTTACGTATATGTTTAGTGACATAAACAATCATATGACTGTTGATAAGACAAAATGAGTAGCTAGAATTAAAAACAAATAATCCAAAGAGATTTATCAATATTTGCTCCAGTATAGTGGTGCTTTTCTCAATGAAATATCTCCTTACTCTCATCTGGATTACTATCTATCTTGATAATTCATGTGATAGTCATGATGTTCTCATATCCTTTGTTTTTATCTTTTGTTAAGTAATAAAAGTACTAAGATTTCATACAGTAGCTAACATATATTCATCAATAAGCTTAAGGATCAATGTTGCATCTTAAAAACAATCAGGTTTACGTGCAACTAAATTATTTTCATGATAGAAGACATACTATGTTAGACTATAAACATGTATTTTTTCCTTATGTTAACTTTTATGATTTACTTGTGGGTGTAACTACAATTTAAGGACAAATTTTGAATGACTCTTACAGGCAAATGCCTAATCGTGAAAATTTCCTCCGGATAAACATAGGAATGTTAGAAAGCCTTTCTTGTTTATACTCAGTCTCATCATTTAGATTGTAATGAGAATACTTTTAATCGTAAATTCTCGATACATAGAAGCTAAATGACATGATAGGAGATGGATGAGTGTTGCTAAATATAGTGAATTGATCAAAGTTAAACATGAAAGCTGTTGGATATCGGCCTAATGGTATAGAAAATAAACGTTCGAGCGCGAGACAGAGGGTCCTAAGTTTGATTCCCGTATGGGAACTACTGAGGAGTCCCATACTAGAACGAAACGACTGTCCGATGCTTCCAGGTCTTCAGTCCTGGTCTAGCTAAGATCTGTTCGTAATTAAAACTATTCGCAATTTAACCTGGTTGGGATTCAAATTCTAAACATCAGTTATGTTTATTAACCTTCTATTTTTTGTGTGCCTAGTCAACTTAACATAATTGTCTATCCACTGATAATAATCTTATAATTCAACAATCATTTCATAAAAGTCGTCTACATTTAAAATAAATATTTTTACCCTGAACATCAAAATCTTGTAATAATATTGTTAACTATTCAGTTAATAAACCATGATGTAAATTATGAAAATTGAAAAATCTCCATAAAGACTTTTAGCAATAATAATGTGCTAACTAGTCACTAATTTTGAGTGACAGTTCTAGGAGTTCTAGTGAGAAGCAGGGGCTATTGGAGTTTAACCAAGTCAAATGTGAAACACTTATCCGCTACGGGCGACGAAGGACTGTCACTTAGCATCACCAGTTGATTGGAATTATTGGTTTCCTACTCATTAGTTTCAAGGTCAAGGGCTCATCGTCATAACTAAAAGTCCTAGATCAGACCCCTGGAAGGAAACGTGGTTACTTATTTTCGAAGAGTACCATACTATCTTTATCCAGTCCTTCCTGTTTTTCAGTGGTTGTCTAACCAAGATCTGTCTACGACATTAATTATGAATATTCAGTTATTATCTGAGTGATTTTTTATTATAATTTGTCAATCAATTTTTTTTCGTAAGTACACTTATCATAGTTTTAATGATAATTTCAGTACTTACTAGATAAACACCAATCTCCAATCAGTTTAAAACATTCGGGAAATAAAGTCTTAGCATAGTGATTTAAAGACTTGGTTTTTTTTATTACTGTATCACACATTGAGCCCAGTTAAATGGTACCTAGACTGACTTGTTAGCTCATAGTAGTATCAGCATTCATGAATATTATTGTGAACTTAGGCATTAACACGTACGTGATTAGAGTTACACGACTTGATAAAATCATTATTTTCATCCTGATAAAAATTAAATTCCCAGTTTCGTATTTTATAACATATTTGGAGCTTGAGAAGCGCTAGCTGTTATATAACACTAAATGGATTAGTAAACCTCGTTTAAGAGTTAATTAAGGGTTGAAACGTCTGTCATTCGAATCATTGGTCAAAGAATGTTTGATTGTTAAATTACTCAATTTCTAAAGACTTTGTCTCATGTCTAAACTGTACACCTACCTTGGTTTATTCAACCGAACAGGATTGTTATTGACTGTTCCATAAAGTCGAGTACATAAGCCTATCTTTAATCACTGAGTTGGATTTTATTGATGAAATCCCAAGATGCTTTTAAAAAGCTTTGTTTAACATTCATTTATTTAAAGAAAATGTTCAGCATGTTAGTTAGTTATTTGGAGGTAGTTTGCTTAAAACTCTGGATTCGTGATAGTTGGCATTATACATCATGTAATGTGTGATTAAAATTTATTAGCTTAATTGATGAATATATATATGTCTGCATACTATTTACAAATTTTAGTTTGTTATAATTTTTATAGAAGGAGAAGTTTGGCCTTTCTAGACGTCATTCTACAACTGATAGTGCTGATGACAAATTAATCAATCTGGATAAACATCGTCGAGAGTTTAGAATTCTAGCAAATATTTTTCTTCTTCAACAAAATGCCCAATTTTATTCACTTAGACCTGAACCAGATTTTATTACATGGTTTCATTCTTATCCATTAATCTCAGAAAATGAAGCGTAAGTTTATCCCATCAGTTATTTTTATTGTCATTTTTTTATCAATATTAGCGTTATTGTAGAACAGAACACAATAATTTTCACTTACAATCTTTATATCATGAAGATATATGGTTATCTTTTTGGATTCTTTGTTAATTCTAAAAATTTCTCACTACGAACTTATTCCATTTAAATTATTGTTGAAAATCAGAGATAGCATGGATGATTTTGAGCATTGACATTGAGTGAAAAATGTGCTATATCTCAGAATGACTAAATTTGAAGAAATCTTGCTCATTGTGAAACTATGGTATCAGGTGTTTTTATGAATTACCAAAACCAAGAAGTTTCATACTACAATGAGATGGCCCCCTACTGTTACCAGGTTCTAAACAGTTGATGCTGAAACTTCCTTCAAGTCGTTTTATTTTGAAAATTATCTACACTCAAAGCCCTCCTCGATAATCTAACATTCGCGATCAGTAGTTTTTAAAACTTTTTTTATATCTCAGAGCTGGTTAATGTTAGTTAATACGTTTGGAATAGTTTCAGTTACCTCGAGAGTGCAAAAATATCTTGTCAATGTGTGCCAACTAAACCCAGGCTTAATTTTATGATTTACTATCAGTTACTACCAACCATCTAACAATTAAAGCTTGAATCCATAACTAAGTTGATCATTTCCTATCTGGCACAAGTGAGGTCTCCGAAATACAAATAGCCTGTTATTTCTTTCTTATACCTCTTTTTATTCATTCTGATTGTATTGAAGATATTCTCTGAATTTGTTTATTCACTGACTATTTATTTTATAACTACAGTCTCAATCGTTCTTGTGATCTAGAACCAGTTGATGAACAAGTACAACAGCATATAAACAGACCTTTCAGGTAAGTAGAGTTTTAATAATTAAATTGAGAATTTATCCTACTTTCTGCCTATTACGATTACAATGCAAATAATCACTCGAAGTTTATCAAATTATATCTTCATAAAATTTAATAATATTCAAGTACACTGTCATATATTTAGGATTGTCGATCAAATATTAGGTTGTGTTGTATGTAAAAATCAAGTATCCCGTTCGATTTTAAAGTATATAGTTCACAAAAAAAATTTTCAACTCAATGATCCAGTTATCTTGTTCAATTTTATGTACTAAGTATAGCTAAAGTCCTGATCATTAATTATACAAGTTTCGTAGTAAAGCGAAACCATTTAGTTTATTTATGAAGCTGTAAATAACTAGTAAATAGTCACATTATCAACGATCGATTGGCATCAATCAAATATTTTATAAAACGATAAATAAATATTGCACTTAAAAATATTTAATACAGTAATATCATATAGTATAGATTTCTGTTATATATGCCAAAACTGTTGTAATTTTTTAAAGCATAGCAACTTGATCTTATCCTATTTAAAGCTCTACATAGTTTCGATCAGGCCAGACAATTATCAAATAGCGGATGCTTTGTAAACTAGGAATTCTCTTAAACCACATCGACTTGGTTTCAGCGAAATAAGTTTCTTAATAAATAATTCTATTCAAGTAATGTTACGAACATTCTTCTATAAGGTGTATTGTCCAGTCAAACTTATTCTTACTGAGTGAGTAAAAAATACACTCTCTGGAGAAAATGTAGTGGTCAGTCTAACACATTACTTCATTTCACATTGTTTTACTAAGTAGTGACTTTTTTAAGGGAATTCCTGCATTCAGATAAGAAATATTCCACGCATTCTTGTATATTCAGTTAAGGTATTCGAAATTCCTCACATTTTTTCAGGATCAGGACTGTGTCAAGTTTTGTGAACGATGTCAAAGCATAAGATTGACAATACTAAATATGCATAACATCTCGCTTGATTACTTAAGATAACAAAATGTTTGTAAGCCCTAACTTTATAAATTTTAGTGTGAATGGCCTTCATTAGAATGACTTTATTACAAGATTCTACGATCACTAACTAGTAGCTACATTTCCATTTTAATTGTTTTCTTGTACATTATGTTCTAATCTGCATTTATCAGGGCTTTTGAAGAAACAATTGATAAATGCTATTTTAACTTTTTTTGGTTTTCTAGTTCATTCAAACCAGCTTTTACCGTTTGTTTTATTTATAAAGTGTTTTACATAAATTTCTGTTATTTAAAATATCAGTAAGAATCCGTCTGTTAAGTTTTCATCTGTTTACTATTTAGTGTAAACTTACTTTACATGAGGTTTCTGACTCTTAAAATCAGTGGTTTTTTTCCTTACCGATATGCTTCAAACTAAGAACTAAACAATTATATATAGTAAACCCTATTTTCACTTTTAAAAGATTTTTAATTGATTTAAGTGCGGGAAAACTGTCGTCAAAATCAATTTTACACTATAATAATTTGAAATGTGTCCAACCTTACTATATACTATGTTTGTGAAAAAGTGTCAAAAGCGTTTAAGTATTCACCTTTGAACTAGTTAGTCCGCAGTTCAAACTCAGTCCGTTTATTTTTGTTTTAACAGCTGATTAGTTTCTACTAGCTATCCATTAAACAGTGTGGCTAAAGTTTGAGCGCATAAACTTATACTTCATAATTTATATAAAATTATTCAGTGAATGTTAGATTAACTTCCTCTTATTTTTAATTTTCATTCAGCGCATCTCCATATACATTTGATACAAGTGATTCAAGTGGTGCAGTCGATATAATAAATAGTAATAGATCACGACATCCACGTAATAATACAAATATCCATGTAGAAAGATCTAAATATGCTATAACCCGTCCACCTAGTGCTACAGCTATTGGTGCCACTACTACTACATCAATCATAAGGAATCCCAACACTAGCATTAATATTATTAATAGTATTAGTCCAAGTCGAAATAATAAATCACGAATTAATGGAACATATTCATCAAGTGATTTACTTGATGATATTAAATACAACAGGTCAACAACTACTGACGAACCAATCACAGGAAATAGTTTGGACATTTTATATCAACAAAGTAACCACAAACATAATATGAAAGTAAGTAACTATTTTATTGGATAAAAGTAGAAATAGGGTAAAAATGAAATTATCATGATAATTCTTTGATCAAATATTTTGTATATTTTTCAAATATATTATTTATTAAATAACTGTTTAGTGGCACATTTCTATTGTATTTAATGTATGATATCATTAGTTATTCCTTTGTCTCTCATAAATTCACAGTTATTTAGCTGCTATATATATAGAAAATCTTAGCTTTATATCAAAAATGTTCCAGTTATGTACCTATTCAGATCCATAAATTGTGGTATCGTATGGTCAGTGATTTTAATTGCAGGATCACGTGACTTATGAGAAGAATTAATCGACTATACTTGCAACCACTTATCTGGTTTTCTACTATTCTAATAAGAGATTCAATCAAGTAGGAATATGTGTGGTCTGTAAATTGTGTGATGAAAATACTAAGACTCAATTGTTCAATATAATTTCAATAACATAGAAGATAAAAGCATATCACCTTTATTTTCTTAAAAAATTCTTCTAGAAGAGTCAAAAAGCCTTTGTTTCCACTTATTCGAAATTACGATGTGATTTTTATTAAGAAAATTTCTTGGATAGGTTTCAGTAATGTGAATATAGGTTTTCTGTGTTAAATATTGATTATTCAGTTCTTACAGATAAATTATTGATTGAAAAGATTCCATTTAGTACAACCGAGTAGATTGCATTAAATAACACAAATCAAAACAAATACTGTTTCTATCCGCAATTTACTACGTCTAAACGAGCTGCAAGAATATCAGATAATAACACCTGTCTTGAAAGTTCGGAAAATTGTTATTTAGTAAAAATACTTTTTAAATACGCTTTTAACTATATGAAAATTTAATTTGGTAGTGAGTTTGCTAGTATCACTGCTAAGGGTTGACTTGATACTTTCCAATCAACTGGATGTTGAATAGAACGTTGATCATAAAGTATTTATGATATTTTTTGATATCCCAATGAGTAAAAAACAGATGTGTTTTGATTTAATTTAAGTTGCCTTTACAGAGTAAATAAATGAATAACCAAAACCAAATTGACAAAAATATTCTGTCTTGTTTCTTTAAGCTACCTAAATTTCTGTTCATTTTATTTTGGTCATTTATTTACTGACTTTGAAGAAACAGTTCAAATTAAGCTTCAAAACGTAAACAACTCTAATATCCACTCGTTGAGATATCGAAAATGTATCATAATGTTTTCATATGAACACCCATCACAATTTGAACGAATATTCTGACATAAATTAGACGCTAAAGCGTAAAAACCGTATCTGAATAATCCCTAAAGAATCTCGAATCAGTTTTCCCAATGGAAAGTATTTGTTCACTCATTACTTCAACAAAACCATAAATTATACATGAAGATCATTGAGACCACACAGTGTCATAAATCAAGATATATAGTGGATAAGGTTGTATGTTGTCAAACAAAAGCCCAGATGTTGAGATCTAATTGAACTACTTCCTGTCGACTTTCTACTGCGAACATTGAATATATCTCAACAACATTATTATTAAAATTAGTTTGGCAAACAAAAGTTGTTTACTAGCTAGAAACATCAACTGTAAATTGTATCCTTAGAGTTTATGAAACAAAAATACTTTAGTTACGTTTATTCGCATACAAAACTGTCAGGTATCGTTCTCGTCACAGAAAGAATAATTTACGCAATATGTAATATTTATAAGTATTTTAGCTATCGATGGAGTAGATTTTTAAAATAAACAAGAATTTGCCGTAACGATTCTTTCTTTCTTTCCGAGTTGTATCTTATACTAGTGTTTTTTTCTCAACCATTCTCCATAATGATTCAACAGCTAATTAGGTTTTAAAGAGGAAATAAACCACTAGAAGGAACAAATGTTTTACATTCGGGAATAAACGGCATAGTTACGACATAATTTTGTAAAGATCTCGTCGACATACGAAGTTACAGGAAATAATCTACTTTTACAATTTCTAAAAGATTTCGTGTAATACGCTCCTGTTGATCACAGGTTGCAGTTAAAATCTCTTCGAAATTAGAAGCATTTTGGTAGTGTAGTACAATCACAGAATAATTTTTAACGACTCACATATTATGCATTAAAATTGAGATTTTCATAATAGCTGATAATTCATGCAACAATTCAATGTTCTATCATGATTTAGCAGAGATATTTTGTGGTTTACTTTATATTTATTTATTTATTTGAACACATATATATTGGTACAGCAGTGCGCCAAATATATATACGCCACACAGGTTTACTTTACGGACTGATTGTAGACAGTCGCTGGAAACAAGAAAGCACTGAATGGCTATCCCGTCCTAATACCGGACTCCTCGACAGTGCCCATCAGTAACTGATAATCGAACTGAGGACCTCCAGTTTTTGCGACTAGACCTCAACATTTAGATCACTAAATCAGCAATATTGTGAATTGACCGAAGTCAAAAATGTGAAGCATTAATTAAAGGATTAAGCGCACACTGCGTAACCCAACGTACTTTGGTCCGAGTCATAGTAGAATCGTAGATACAAACCTTTGAGGGGCACTATACTAGGACTAAGCAGCTACCCAATACTTCTATTTTTTAACTGGTTATACTAATAAGACCAGTCTATGGTGTAAACCCTGAAGTTTTCACAGTCCCTTCACACTACTAACGATAGAAAAATTATCTTATTGACAGTGAGTTCATATACATAGTCAGCCTCCTGAAGATTATCTCTTTTGATTCAGATTAACTAATTGATGGGTTGCATGACCTTGATATTGTCCGTTAGTAGTTAGTCGAATATTAAGAGATTATAGGAACCCATATAGCTGACAGACGTTAGGTGTCATTTAACACTAAATCATAATATTTTATAAACTCTTCTTTTCAACCTTTATAGACATCAACTTCTAGATGGAACACACACAAAAGTTCATCAACTACATTCGATTCACGTAATGATAGCAATAGTAACAACAGTAATTTATCGATTACTGTTTCTTTGCATCATACAAATAGTCATCATGATGGTCGTGTTTCACCATTTATTGCTAAAGTCGCTCATTTAGGTAGCCTGTCGCATGGCCATAACGATAATCGTTTTTCTAGTTCGAAACAAACACAACCCATAATTCAATTGGTAAGTATTCAAAAACAACAAAACGTATCTATTTATTCATTTGTATTAGGTATTTTAAATGAAATGTAGAGAAAGTTTCAGAATGATCCGGGTACATTTTAAATGTCCTGAATCTCATTGATTAACTTCACTTCCTTGTTGTTGACTGGTCTGTCTGGTTTACTATATTTCCCTACTAGTTTCTTCGTTGAATCACATAGTTGTTTTAAATGTTCTCCTCTTTCAGCTCTTTCCGCTATCATTGCTATGTCTCTCATGTATTTCTGTTTATCGGCTCTAATACTCCTCTTCACTCTCTTGTGTGCTTCTGTGTTCGGTCTTTGCCTTGACTTTCTCTACTCTTGTTTCACTGTTGTTAATTTCTGTATTCTTGTTTCGCGAAATGTTGCTTCAAGATCGGGTTGCATCGACACCTGAACTAATGATAGGGAGTGAAGTAGTTGAGCGTATTGACCGCTTCACCTATCTGGGAAGTCTCTTCAGCCCTTGTGGTCTGGTGTGTGATGAAATCTCAGCACGGATACAGAAGGCTCGATTAACCAAAGGACGGGTTTACTGAGCAGCAGTTCGTTCCGTCCTACTTTATGACAGTGAAACATGACCGGTAAGAGTAGAGGATATCCGTAGGTTACTAGTATTCGACCATAGGTGTCTTCGAAACATTGCTCGTATATCCTGTAACCACCGAGTAAATAATGCAGTTGTTAGGAAACGGTTACTAGGTAAGGATGGCAAATCAATTGATGAAGTAGTGAAACTTAATCGGTTGAGATAGCTGGGACATGTTTTATGTATGCCCAACCACCGACTGCCATGACGAGTGATGTTTTATAGTGTAGGATTGGGTTGGAAGGAAGCTAAGTGCGGTCAGACCAAAACATGGCACAAATTCATGAAATCACTGACAAGTGAACTGAGCCATGTTGGTAGGTGTAGACTACCTGGTTAGGATCCGCGAGATGATAGCAACCGATGTTTAGAGACTTTGAATGATATGGCTCAAAATCGTTTGCAATGGCGCAGGTGCATCCACTCTTTGTACTCTCCCAAATTCTAATCTACCGAATTCTTCATATCCCTTTCTTTTTTCTCTTTCCAAATTTATTTCACTGGATTATACTCCTTGAATAAAATCTTCAAACCCTAATTTTTCTGATTACAGCTCATAATTTTACTACATTTAGCACTACGGGATTTGAATCAACCACTGCATCTCTGTGCTAATGTGGTGTGGCAACTCGAACTGATGTACGTACGTACGAAGTTTCACCAGTTCTACGTTGTTGCTGATTGACTGTGCTCCTGTTTTTCTTTTTTTGAATGTATCTATAGTGATCAACTATTCATGCTGGTGCTACTTGCGGTTGAACATCTGACACTTTGAACTTATTGCTTGTTTAGTCCCTTTTCAGTTGTTAATAATAGTCTCGTCTTGTTTTTGTGTAACCTGTGATGCATTGAACTTATTGCTAAGAGTCATCTTAAATTCGTCGTGTCTGACCGTATCTCGAAAGGAGGTTATGTTAAACGTTTGTAATCCTGTCTACCTAGTTGTGCAATGCTTATTTAGTTTCAACTAGGCCACCACAAGGTGGTGTTGATCTGAAACTATATTAGCTCTCTGTTTTGTTATTACGTCTTCCATGGACCTAAATTTTCTCTTTATGCAGATGTGATCGATCTGATACTCTGTACTGTGATCTGGTGAGACCCATTTAGCTTGTTTGCGTTTGCAGTGGAATATAGTGCTAGATAAATTTTCAAGTTTTTCGCCATTCTCCTTTCTTTCTCCAAGTCCATTCCATCCCAAGATATCTTCATATCCAGTGTTGTCTATCCCGACTTTTTCTAATGTCTAGCTAAGGTTAACCAATGTTGCAGATCATCCTCCTCGTACTGTGTATAATCTCTTCTTTAGCTACGATCACGCATGCTGTGGTAGAACCGCCTACGAGCACTACATTTTTAAATGGTTCCCCAGCTGATATCAACTCGTGACTTTAAACAATGTTCCTCATTCAAACATTTTGTTAGAAATTAGCAGGTGAATAATCGTCGTGAGTAACATATTGATAAGATGTATTTTTTCAGGTTGAAATTGCAATTGACAATTCTAGTAAACAAAATCACACACAGTGAAGAGACTGCAACATCCTCATCTGATTTTATTCTGTAAGAATCCATACAGTATCGGCCTACGGCGAAACACCATTTCCATTATTCATAAACAGTTTCTCAGAATAATGTCAATTCCTCTATGAGTATCCATGTATTTTTCTAATTCAAAATTCCTGTCATAATCCATATCGTTTACATATATTTTCTTAATAGTCGGTTTCTCCTGTGGATAGTGTCTCTGACGTACTATCGAAAGCCCTTAAATTCTTTGGTTGTGCCGATCAAAAGGTTGATAATTATGATCTAATTCATGTCCGTAAAGATGCTCGAGGTAAGTGATTTTTGTAATATCTCAAGAATTTTATTTGTTTTCGTTCTTTTGTTAATAATATCATGAATTGACATAAGTTAGACAACCATGAAAAGCAGGAAGCACTGAATGGTAGTTTCGTTGTAGTACACACACAACCCCCAAATGCCCTGGTACAGCCGAGAGTGGGGAGAGTCCGCTCCCCCTCACGAAATGCTCTCACACGGCCACGCGTATATAGCCTCTGCCAGGGACGTCCTACTCAGTGCTTTCTCGTGGCGAAGGTGTTGTTTACGAAATTGAAAGGACGAAAAGCAAATATCCGGTGCTTTAACCGGTTTGGTGGACATCGAGAGTCCACCTGGGGAAGTTGGAAAACCCTGATTCCAAACCAATGGTGCACATGGGCTCCAGTATCCTGAAGGAACAAATGGCGTATGAACCAATCGTTGGTCACCGGCTACCATAGGACTGCATTTCCTTACGGTGCCCCACTGCCTTGTGCACCAGACCTTCAGGTCGGAGGCTCCGGATGTGGCGCCCTAAGAAAACTACCTGCTTCGGTTTAGGCACCCGGGCAGTATCACAGCCCTCATACATATCAAATGAGATTTGTGTGGCGCATATGTATTTGGTGTCTCCTTGTACCAATATCTATGTGTTGAAATAAATAAAATAAAACACGCACAGTCCTACTATAAACGATTGGACTTCGGTTTTTCAGATCTTGAGGCGAGCGCTTAATTTGCAGACCACTGAGCAGTCATCCTATAATGTACATTTCTGACTTAAATCATATTGCAACATTGAGCAACTATCTTCCATTATCTTTGGAGTGTGACGGCCTCATACTCGAGATTGTTGGATTCCCCTGATCACGGCTTCTCACTAGTAACATTCGATGTCTTCTGAAACCTCTATACTGATAATTATCATGTGCTTACTTGTGACCGATTTTAACAGTAATATCCAGTTTTGGCAACCAATGAATTTTAACTATGTCACGTAAGGCAATTTTCCTTCTAAGATTATAAAAGATGGTCGCGCAGTATCACGAACTGGTTGAAGTTAGACATGTACACCACCAAATCCCGGTCAAGTGGTTTAGAGATTAAGCGCTCGCCACAAGATCTGAAAACCGTGGCTTTGGTCTCTTGTGACGAAATCATGTATACACACCACTGAGGTGTCCCTTGGTTACTTACTACCCAGCGCTTCATGTTTTTAATGGATGTCGATTTGTGATATCAGTAACGTTCAAAAGTCTCCACAAAACCCTTATACTGGTCGTCTGTTAATTTTTGACTTATTTTTACTGATACAGTAGAAAAATTAGTCGTAGGTATAAATGGTGTAGAAAATTGTATTTTAACATACCTACGTTCTCTGTGCAGTATCATTATTTTTTACTGACCTTGTTAGTTTGATGTATATTTAGAAATAATCACCAATTATCTGCATTCTTAGTAAACTGCTCTGGCTATATAATGCTTAAAACTGACGGATAAAACGTCTGTGATCTAAATTTTACGCTTAGCAGCTCTTTTGAATCTGAAAATATTCAATGTAACAAAGGGTATATTCATCCCTGATCCTAAAGATGTGTCTTTTTCATAAGTGTTTTAAGAAGTATAGAGTCTACATTCATAAATAGCCTGTCGGATTACTACTAACAATCGTTACACTCTAATAGCAATGTAACACTATATTGTATCCCTTAAAATTAGTGATTAGATTTTCATCTTCATTACTGAACAGTTACTTTCTAATGAATAGTCGATAAATGTAAAACTATAACATTTTGTTTCAATAATTTACTCTTTTCTCCGGTTTACATTTCCCACAGATGTAACTCTTCCAAAAAATTTCAACTTTTATGAATCGATAAATTATTCTTCTTTTCATTTATCAAATAATAAACATTATGAATTATTAGAATTTATTTGTACACCAACTATTCATAATGAGAATAATAATGACAACAATAGTAGTAACTATAGTAATAGTTTAAACAATTCACCATCATCATCGTCAGCAGCATACATAAAAACTAACAATAACACAAATTATCATGGTAAAAATCACAATCTACAGCCTAACACAACTACAATTGAATATGCTAAACACTATAAATTAACAAGTAAAAGTTCTAATAAACATTGTACTGTTGAATTATGGTCATGAACATTTATTAACAATTGTTTATTTTTTTTTTAAAAAAAGTTGATTGTTTTTCATTAGTTTATTGTTATTTTTCATTATCAAATGTGCTCAAATGCATATTGCCATTGTGAATAATTTTGTCACATGTTTTTTTTGTCACTGCGCCACTTATTTTTACCATTAATTGATCCTATCAATCAATAACTAAATAAATTTTCCCCTCCCCGAAGAAAAATTTGTTCAATATTTCGCCATTTGTCTTTCATGATCGCGCATTTTTTTAAAATAATTGTTCTGTTTTTTTTTTCTATTCTCATCACCTTTCCTAACCCCGTTCCTCTTTACACTCACCTTAAATTTTCTGCCAATTGTGTAGTTCATTTTTCTGGTTAAATACCTTATGGAGTTGTAAGCTATGTCGAAACACATATCTAGTAGTGCATCTTTTATGTTAATGTGATTATTAAATGCCGTGATTCCACATTTCCTTTGTTTATTCCTTATAACTTATATGCATACCATTAAGGAGATAATAACATATCTTACTTATTTGTTCACTGTTCAATAGTAAAGAATTGCTGTTTGTTTTACTTTCATTTATTTTTATTGATATTGATTGGATTAAGAACATAATCAATTGTATATTTATAAATTATTGTGTATTTTAAATATCATATTGTCACAATATATAAATATATTTCCTGTACAACTTTTATAAGAATAATTTCTTAATTTAGAAATTTCGATGAACTTTTTTCTTATTAATTGATATTTCAAGTTAGATAGGAGATAGTCTAGAATTTAATCAAAACAAGTCATATTCTTATTGATATATTAAGTCTTTGGTACAATTATTTTAAATATGATCTGATTCAAATCTGCAGCTTAGCACACAATAGATAACCTTATTATTACATTGACGTAGGTAATTCTTAAGCTAATTATGAAAACATTTAAAGGGTAGAAAGAATCGCAAATTTATCAAATACCAAGCATGTTAATTATACTAATGTTGTCAATTTATTTCACAACATTAGCCTTGAATAATGATTACATTTTCAACTGATTTATGATTCTATCAGTTGAATACTGTGAGGCAGCGTACTAGATGCATGATCCTTTCCTGAAATTATTAGCTGTCATAAACATACCAGGTCCGTAGCAAATTGACGAAAATGAGACTCAGCACTATGTATACGAATAGATCCTTTTAAGAAATATGTTTTATATCTCAAATAGTTAATCACGGTCAACAAATGTTTGTTATTAACTAAATAGTCGGATTGAAATATTGACCATTATTTTACATTAATAAACACGATAAAGCCATTAGTAAAGAAATATGTACGATTTTTATGTTAATATGAATCAAATCAATTTTTTAGTTATGATTTTTGTGATCGTGTTAACATTTTTTCGACACTCGAGGACTCTGAAATAGCAATAAATGTATATGTATTTGACTTACACTACTTACCTTATAATGTATCACACATAGAGCATAAGACTGCACATTACTGGCGCATCACATCACGATAATAGATCTCTGTATTTGAGTGAAACTTCATTTCTAAAAATGCAGTAAACGTCATAAACTTCAAGAGTATTGGTTATTACTTATTTAATTACTTACATTCATTCTAACCTGGAATCCGTGTCTTAAACGGCTACTGACCTAGACATGAACCTTCAGCAATAATCACCTAATACACTGAAATTACTGATCCCCCCTGAGAATCCAATGAAAAGGAGGGTGCACAGATTTAAAAAGAACGAAAATGACCGTTAAAGAGGATTTAGTAAAAATAATCGGACAGTAACTTAAAGCACAATAGACGTTTACATACTAACTCATTAAAAAAAGTTATGTAGTCTATCTGTTAAATGAGAGGTATCATGAGACAGAGATACACTGATTTTCACAATTAGATGCAACCGATAGGCACTCAGTAGCACGGAGTATATGCGATTTCAAGAAACTGAAACTCCGAGGGAATCAAGTCTTCGTTACCTAGAGTTACAATCACACAGTTGTTTGTAACTTGTTAATAAAATGCCTATTGTCTTATTTTAATCATGGAATACTAATGCTACTGCTTATTTTGTAAACTTGTGCGTTTCACCAATAAGATAACCAGTCAGTCAGCTACAACGTAGGACCAAAGACATATATGCATCGGTCCAAGTTGCCATACCTCCTTTGCACAACAAGATGGACACCGGATTGATAAAAGTAGTTAATTCAGAGGTAGTAAAATATAAAAGAAAGATTGCATATAAGGATATAGTATAGGAAGAAATATTTAGTTCATAGAAAGAAAGATATGAAGGAATTTTAATCTCTTAGTTTAAGGGAAGACAGAGAATGTAAACACCGACGCCATTGTGATCGATTCTGAGCTATATCACCCAGAGTATTCAACCATTGGTTGCAATAGTCACACCGATCCCAACCAAGTAGGCTGCATCTATCAACATGGCCTAGACCAGAGGTTAGTGACATCAAACACTGATGCTACGTTTTGGTTTGGCCACCCCTAACTTCCTTCCATTCGTCTCCAACACAAGTCAGCATTGCTCGACGTGGTAATCGGTGTTCAGGCATACGTAACACGTGACCCAACCATCTCATTCGATGAAGATTCACAACCTCATCAACTGATCTACCATCATTCCCTAATACCCTGCGTCTAACATCACTATTACTTACCCGGTGATCCCAGTAGATGCGAGCAATATTTCTAAGACATCGGTCATTAAATACTAGTAGCTTACGAGTATCCTCTACTCTTAATGGTCACGTTTAGCAGACGTAAAGTAGAACAGAACGAACTGCTGAAAAGTATACTCGTCCCTTAATTGATAGATAGATATCTCCCCTTCACCATAGGTGACGTAAGTTGGCAAAAGTCAAACGAGGTTTGTGAATCCGTGTGGAGATTTCGTCAGACACCAACCCACTTGGGCTAGTCAGATTTCCTAGATGAGTAAACTTTTCGACACGTCCGACTACTTCACTCTCTATCCTTAGTTCAGGTATTGATGTAAGCCAGTCCTGAAACAACAATTTGCATTTACAGGGGGAGAAACGCATTCCAAACATTCTGGCATTGTTGCTTAGTGCTTCCAAAAGACCAATTCCTCAGCAGTTAATTATTTGACTGCTGTGCTGGTCAACTTGAATTTACGAATTTTTTCCAGGTTCCATGTACACTGCTTCTTTACGAGTATGTATTATCCTCAGCTATAGCTAACATAAAGAGTTACAATTTAAAGTCTAGCGGTCATTTTAAATTATTTTGACCAATACTGATGAATATATAATTGATAGACAGTTGATAATTAATCTAATACATGGTTTGCTAAAAACATACTATTTTTAGATATGCTTATTTAGTACTTCAATAGACTGCTTCTATTCAATAGAGGGTTGTTTTGTTTTGCACTTTTTAATTAATAATTGTATAAAGCTAGGTATGAAGTAAACAAATCGTTAACATGTGATATAAAGAATGGTTGGTGATATAAACTATGGGTTTATATATGTCCAGTATCATATGATTACTACAGAATTACCAAGGCAGAGATAAGCATTGCAAAATGAACATTATACTCGTGAGTAACTATCGATCCCGTTTGTATTGATATTCTGATCTTAATTTTGATGGCACCCAAGTAATCTACAAAATCAGTATCTTCTAATCGATCATCTTCAGTGATTTCTAACTATACTTGTTTTTATCTTCAGCAGTTTGTATAAAAGCATGTTGTTTTATTACATATAAAAACCTATTTTCCCGACTGATGATCTTGTCTTTGATATTAGTTCATTCAGGGGGGTTGAGCTAATAATTCAGTCTCGTGTACAGGCATCACTCAGTCACACAACCAACCCGCATTTGAACTTTTGCGCCAAATAAATACGAAATTAAATGCCCGATACACAGAAAATGCTCTAATTTTATTTAATAAATCGTTTTTATACAGAGCTCCATAAGAGAATCATAGAAAATAATTAAGAATTGAATCTTCAAGTAATTAGTTTACAGTATTACTAGGCTTGAAAAATGATGACAATGAAGCTTGTTTACTAGCTGCCGGCTTATTATTCGTATTCTTTTTGTTTGATTGTTTGGGTGGCTTCTGTAAAAGTAAAGTGAGTTAAAACAAAAACTGGAATATCATACCTATGGAAACAAGAATAATAAACAATGTAAAGAATTGTGAAACAATTTTGTGGATAATCTTAGCTACTTATAAGTAGTATGAATTATTTGAACGTAATTCACCACATTTTACTTTAAATGGAACCAAAGCTCATGAAAAATTAACCAGAATTTAGGTGTTCGTTAAAAACAATTACACCTTCATGTGTTGATTCACGGCCTCAGACGGGAATAATAGAGTTTAACAACTGTTGTTGCGGATTTTTTGTAGAAATTATATACCAAAATACTGAAAACTTCATTCACACTAACTGTTCAAGTTGAACAAAATATTTCCCAATATGATATTTAGAAAATAACAATGGCTTGTTTCCTAGACATTATCAACGTAAAAACAGCAATATACTGCCATTAAATTATGTGTCGTACACTCGTAAATTGTTATCATAATGACCATAAACCTAATCTTACAGCCACCACAACAAAACGCTTGGTTGTGAGCTAGTCCCTTTTTATTCTTAAGAGGTTTGAAAATGAGACTTTAAATCCTTCATGACTAGTTTATATTTTCTAAGTAATACGGAAAGGCCCTTATTAGAAGACCTATACTTCAAATTAAAATTCCCAGACCAGAATTAAATAAATTCATAGTTTGATGAACAGTACATGCAAGTGTAAGTACTCAGAATATTCTTGTTTGAGTATTTTCAACCATCGGTATCATAGATAACCATGTTACTTACCTTCGATTAATAAAAGTATAAAAGTGCATGTAATTAGCAACTTTATTTGGTACAAAGGGGCACTAAAATTCGGCATTCGATTTGTGTGAGCGTTTGGGATACTGCCGGAGAGCCAAAAGCGTAATTAGCTACAAACGACATCACACTTTTCAATGACGAGAAACCAAAAATGTACTCAAGTGAAAGTTAACTGTTTTTTCTGGAGATTCGCAGTTTCAAAACATCCACCATGGCCAAGGAATTTTATTCTGAGTGTTTGAAAACTAAGTTATTAGCATCACCTAAAAGTGTAAACCTAGCTTTGGTTATCTAGGAGTTTCACTACGGCTTTAAGGAAATTAACAAAGCAAACACCTGTTTTCTCCCAGTACTGTCTACTTTTAATAGATACGTTTTAACCCACTTGTTCAGATATTAATTTGTTAATAGAAGCCATGTATCATAATAATCGGAAAGTTTGATGCTTTTTCCAATGACATGGTAAAGAAGTAAATCACCTAATGCTGTAATAAAGTAAAAAAATCTTATGTAATATTACTGAATAATTTTCTTTTGAAAGTGATAGGTTAATAAAAAAAAGTGACCATAATTCCTACTTACAGTCTGTTGAATCGTTGGTGGTGCGGTTAGAGAGACCGGATTATCAATTTTTGGTTGAACCCGTTCATTTTTCTCATTTTGATCCATACAAGGAGAGGGTGCTGTTGTCGCTTTAGAGGTTTCATCGTCTGATGAACATTCCCAGCCTTTTTCCGTAACTAAAATATATATATCACACTTGTAAAGCATTATTGTAAGAACTCTATTTTTAATATTAATGCAGTATGATGATATAACAATAAAAACTAAGTAATTATACACTGTAGTGGTAAAATCAACCACATAATTGTCCACTATTAACAATAGTTTCGGAAAAGTTTATTTTACCCATAAAGCCATCTTCATCTGCAAACGTTTTCATTACTTGGTGACGAATACGATTTAAACTAGCAGCACAGCTAGATTTCTCAGTTCTTGAATTTTCTTCACACTTACTCGGTGTTGACAAAGTTTTAACACCGATTTTTTTAACATTGTCGGGTGATTTTTCAGATTGTGTAGGCTCCATGAAAAATGAATCAGCTTCTGAATCAGAAGCTAATACTTTCAGTTTATCTGAAAATGCGAATGAAAACAAATACCTTTGAACTAAAAACATATAATGCAGGATTATAAACGTCTATATACTCTAATATGCATCAAAGCCGTGATACTGAAGAATTATTGTTTACACTGAAATATTTGGCGACTGTGTAATCGACCATTATCCCAGCAAAAGGATTGCGCTCATATATTCAGTTACTCCGGGCTTCGGCCAGGGTGTGCTCGGATGACAAGTTAATTTCATCATTCTGGAACCCTGACCTCGGCAGCTTGGACATATTTCATGTGAACCCAGCGGCTTTCACATGAAGCATTAATTCCTGACGCTGCCACTCGGTGGAAAAAAAGGAAGGGTTAGTTTATGACATGGCACCGTGGTATGAAATATAGATATATAAGACTGTCATATGTTGGTATATCACATCTCACTTGTGGTCCTAGATACGATGCAACTTAGCAGCTTGAGACTTCGTCAGATATGAATCAGGACATAAGCCAGTGACAATTCTGTTTTAGTTTTGTCACAAAAAGTGAAATGAACTTCTTTAACTGAGAAAAATCAGTGTTGACTATATTTCTAACTGAACTATATCCTTTATACAATAATGTTTCTCCTTATTTATTCATATATTGTATTATATATTCCCATTAACTTATTTAAACAGTGCGATTCGGGCACCCTAGTTACATATTATTAACAAATACTAACAGTCATCTACAATGTAGGATCAGGTACATATATGCATCGATCCAAGTTACCATACCTCATTTGCACAAGATGAACACCAAATTCATAGAAGCAGTTACTTCAATGGTGATAAAAAAATTCATATAAGGAAGAAGGAAATGGTTCGTAGGAAGATATGAAGCGATTTCAATCTCATGGTTTAAGAGGAAACAAATAGTGTATACACCTACGCCATTGTGATCGATTCTGAGCTATATCACCCAGAGTATTCAACCATTGGTTGCAATAGTCACACCGATCCCAACCAAGTAGGCTGCATCTATCAACATGGCCTAGACCAGAGGTTAGTGACATCAAACACTGATGCTACGTTTTGGTTTGGCCACCCCTAACTTCCTTCCATTCGTCTCCAACACAAGTCAGCATTGCTCGACGTGGTAATCGGTGTTCAGGCATACGTAACACGTGACCCAACCATCTCATTCGATGAAGATTCACAACCTCATCAACTGATCTACCATCATTCCCTAATACCCTGCGTCTAACATCACTATTACTTACCCGGTGATCCCAGTAGATGCGAGCAATATTTCTAAGACATCGGTCATTAAATACTAGTAGCTTACGAGTATCCTCTACTCTTAATGGTCACGTTTAGCAGACGTAAAGTAGAACAGAACGAACTGCTGAAAAGTATACTCGTCCCTTAATTGATAGATAGATATCTCCCCTTCACCATAGGTGACGTAAGTTGGCAAAAGTCAAACGAGGTTTGTGAATCCGTGTGGAGATTTCGTCAGACACCAACCCACTTGGGCTAGTCAGATTTCCTAGATGAGTAAACTTTTCGACACGTCCGACTACTTCACTCTCTATCCTTAGTTCAGGTATTGATGTAAGCCAGTCCTGAAACAACAATTTGCATTTACAGGGGGAGAAACGCATTCCAAACATTCTGGCATTGTTGCTTAGTGCTTCCAAAAGACCAATTCCTCAGCAGTTAATTATTTGACTGCTGTGCTGGTCAACTTGAATTTACGAATTTTTTCCAGGTTCCATGTACACTGCTTCTTTACGAGTATGTATTATCCTCAGCTATAGCTAACATAAAGAGTTACAATTTAAAGTCTAGCGGTCATTTTAAATTATTTTGACCAATACTGATGAATATATAATTGATAGACAGTTGATAATTAATCTAATACATGGTTTGCTAAAAACATACTATTTTTAGATATGCTTATTTAGTACTTCAATAGACTGCTTCTATTCAATAGAGGGTTGTTTTGTTTTGCACTTTTTAATTAATAATTGTATAAAGCTAGGTATGAAGTAAACAAATCGTTAACATGTGATATAAAGAATGGTTGGTGATATAAACTATGGGTTTATATATGTCCAGTATCATATGATTACTACAGAATTACCAAGGCAGAGATAAGCATTGCAAAATGAACATTATACTCGTGAGTAACTATCGATCCCGTTTGTATTGATATTCTGATCTTAATTTTGATGGCACCCAAGTAATCTACAAAATCAGTATCTTCTAATCGATCATCTTCAGTGATTTCTAACTATACTTGTTTTTATCTTCAGCAGTTTGTATAAAAGCATGTTGTTTTATTACATATAAAAACCTATTTTCCCGACTGATGATCTTGTCTTTGATATTAGTTCATTCAGGGGGGTTGAGCTAATAATTCAGTCTCGTGTACAGGCATCACTCAGTCACACAACCAACCCGCATTTGAACTTTTGCGCCAAATAAATACGAAATTAAATGCCCGATACACAGAAAATGCTCTAATTTTATTTAATAAATCGTTTTTATACAGAGCTCCATAAGAGAATCATAGAAAATAATTAAGAATTGAATCTTCAAGTAATTAGTTTACAGTATTACTAGGCTTGAAAAATGATGACAATGAAGCTTGTTTACTAGCTGCCGGCTTATTATTCGTATTCTTTTTGTTTGATTGTTTGGGTGGCTTCTGTAAAAGTAAAGTGAGTTAAAACAAAAACTGGAATATCATACCTATGGAAACAAGAATAATAAACAATGTAAAGAATTGTGAAACAATTTTGTGGATAATCTTAGCTACTTATAAGTAGTATGAATTATTTGAACGTAATTCACCACATTTTACTTTAAATGGAACCAAAGCTCATGAAAAATTAACCAGAATTTAGGTGTTCGTTAAAAACAATTACACCTTCATGTGTTGATTCACGGCCTCAGACGGGAATAATAGAGTTTAACAACTGTTGTTGCGGATTTTTTGTAGAAATTATATACCAAAATACTGAAAACTTCATTCACACTAACTGTTCAAGTTGAACAAAATATTTCCCAATATGATATTTAGAAAATAACAATGGCTTGTTTCCTAGACATTATCAACGTAAAAACAGCAATATACTGCCATTAAATTATGTGTCGTACACTCGTAAATTGTTATCATAATGACCATAAACCTAATCTTACAGCCACCACAACAAAACGCTTGGTTGTGAGCTAGTCCCTTTTTATTCTTAAGAGGTTTGAAAATGAGACTTTAAATCCTTCATGACTAGTTTATATTTTCTAAGTAATACGGAAAGGCCCTTATTAGAAGACCTATACTTCAAATTAAAATTCCCAGACCAGAATTAAATAAATTCATAGTTTGATGAACAGTACATGCAAGTGTAAGTACTCAGAATATTCTTGTTTGAGTATTTTCAACCATCGGTATCATAGATAACCATGTTACTTACCTTCGATTAATAAAAGTATAAAAGTGCATGTAATTAGCAACTTTATTTGGTACAAAGGGGCACTAAAATTCGGCATTCGATTTGTGTGAGCGTTTGGGATACTGCCGGAGAGCCAAAAGCGTAATTAGCTACAAACGACATCACACTTTTCAATGACGAGAAACCAAAAATGTACTCAAGTGAAAGTTAACTGTTTTTTCTGGAGATTCGCAGTTTCAAAACATCCACCATGGCCAAGGAATTTTATTCTGAGTGTTTGAAAACTAAGTTATTAGCATCACCTAAAAGTGTAAACCTAGCTTTGGTTATCTAGGAGTTTCACTACGGCTTTAAGGAAATTAACAAAGCAAACACCTGTTTTCTCCCAGTACTGTCTACTTTTAATAGATACGTTTTAACCCACTTGTTCAGATATTAATTTGTTAATAGAAGCCATGTATCATAATAATCGGAAAGTTTGATGCTTTTTCCAATGACATGGTAAAGAAGTAAATCACCTAATGCTGTAATAAAGTAAAAAAATCTTATGTAATATTACTGAATAATTTTCTTTTGAAAGTGATAGGTTAATAAAAAAAAGTGACCATAATTCCTACTTACAGTCTGTTGAATCGTTGGTGGTGCGGTTAGAGAGACCGGATTATCAATTTTTGGTTGAACCCGTTCATTTTTCTCATTTTGATCCATACAAGGAGAGGGTGCTGTTGTCGCTTTAGAGGTTTCATCGTCTGATGAACATTCCCAGCCTTTTTCCGTAACTAAAATATATATATCACACTTGTAAAGCATTATTGTAAGAACTCTATTTTTAATATTAATGCAGTATGATGATATAACAATAAAAACTAAGTAATTATACACTGTAGTGGTAAAATCAACCACATAATTGTCCACTATTAACAATAGTTTCGGAAAAGTTTATTTTACCCATAAAGCCATCTTCATCTGCAAACGTTTTCATTACTTGGTGACGAATACGATTTAAACTAGCAGCACAGCTAGATTTCTCAGTTCTTGAATTTTCTTCACACTTACTCGGTGTTGACAAAGTTTTAACACCGATTTTTTTAACATTGTCGGGTGATTTTTCAGATTGTGTAGGCTCCATGAAAAATGAATCAGCTTCTGAATCAGAAGCTAATACTTTCAGTTTATCTGAAAATGCGAATGAAAACAAATACCTTTGAACTAAAAACATATAATGCAGGATTATAAACGTCTATATACTCTAATATGCATCAAAGCCGTGATACTGAAGAATTATTGTTTACACTGAAATATTTGGCGACTGTGTAATCGACCATTATCCCAGCAAAAGGATTGCGCTCATATATTCAGTTACTCCGGGCTTCGGCCAGGGTGTGCTCGGATGACAAGTTAATTTCATCATTCTGGAACCCTGACCTCGGCAGCTTGGACATATTTCATGTGAACCCAGCGGCTTTCACATGAAGCATTAATTCCTGACGCTGCCACTCGGTGGAAAAAAAGGAAGGGTTAGTTTATGACATGGCACCGTGGTATGAAATATAGATATATAAGACTGTCATATGTTGGTATATCACATCTCACTTGTGGTCCTAGATACGATGCAACTTAGCAGCTTGAGACTTCGTCAGATATGAATCAGGACATAAGCCAGTGACAATTCTGTTTTAGTTTTGTCACAAAAAGTGAAATGAACTTCTTTAACTGAGAAAAATCAGTGTTGACTATATTTCTAACTGAACTATATCCTTTATACAATAATGTTTCTCCTTATTTATTCATATATTGTATTATATATTCCCATTAACTTATTTAAACAGTGCGATTCGGGCACCCTAGTTACATATTATTAACAAATACTAACAGTCATCTACAATGTAGGATCAGGTACATATATGCATCGATCCAAGTTACCATACCTCATTTGCACAAGATGAACACCAAATTCATAGAAGCAGTTACTTCAATGGTGATAAAAAAATTCATATAAGGAAGAAGGAAATGGTTCGTAGGAAGATATGAAGCGATTTCAATCTCATGGTTTAAGAGGAAACAAATAGTGTATACACCTACGCCATTGTGATCGATTCTGAGCTATATCACCCAGAGTATTCAACCATTGGTTGCAATAGTCACACCGATCCCAACCAAGTAGGCTGCATCTATCAACATGGCCTAGACCAGAGGTTAGTGACATCAAACACTGATGCTACGTTTTGGTTTGGCCACCCCTAACTTCCTTCCATTCGTCTCCAACACAAGTCAGCATTGCTCGACGTGGTAATCGGTGTTCAGGCATACGTAACACGTGACCCAACCATCTCATTCGATGAAGATTCACAACCTCATCAACTGATCTACCATCATTCCCTAATACCCTGCGTCTAACATCACTATTACTTACCCGGTGATCCCAGTAGATGCGAGCAATATTTCTAAGACATCGGTCATTAAATACTAGTAGCTTACGAGTATCCTCTACTCTTAATGGTCACGTTTAGCAGACGTAAAGTAGAACAGAACGAACTGCTGAAAAGTATACTCGTCCCTTAATTGATAGATAGATATCTCCCCTTCACCATAGGTGACGTAAGTTGGCAAAAGTCAAACGAGGTTTGTGAATCCGTGTGGAGATTTCGTCAGACACCAACCCACTTGGGCTAGTCAGATTTCCTAGATGAGTAAACTTTTCGACACGTCCGACTACTTCACTCTCTATCCTTAGTTCAGGTATTGATGTAAGCCAGTCCTGAAACAACAATTTGCATTTACAGGGGGAGAAACGCATTCAAAGCATCCTGGTATTTTTGCTCAGTGCTCAGACTGCATTTTGTCTGCGTCTTCATCAAACAGGACTGGGTCATTTCCGTATTCTAAGTCGATAAGTGGACTTCCTGGAAGAAGATCAGTTACTGAAAATCTAATCGACGAGGAAGTTATCTCCAGCAATATGTCTATGATGAAATAGGACAAAAATGCAGATAATGGACAGTCTTGCCGGACACTAATCAAGATGGCAAAATCAGATGACAGTTCGCCATAAGCTCTGACTCGACTGGTATTGTTCGAGTAAAGAGCCTTCATAAGGTTTATGAACTTCTGAGGTATGCTTTCCAATGACAGACATTGCCACAGGACCTCTCGGCCAACAGAGTCAAATGCTGCTTTTAAGTCAAGAAAAACTATCATTGTCGGACGCCAGTATGTTTGTGTTTAAAATATGATGAATAGTGAATATGTGGTCGATGCAGCCACGAACAGGTCTGAAGCTAACCTGATTTTATCGTGTTTGCAGTTCACGAGTCTTTGTTAGGCGTCCGATAATTATTGAGGCTGACATTTTAGATGCTGTATTAGTCAAACTAATCCCTCTGTGGTTGTTACAGGATGATTCTGATCCCTTATTATATATTGGGATAATCAGTGATCGCGACCAATCAGCTGAGATTACATTCAGTTCCCAGATTTTAGCTAAAATATTAGCCAGCCTAATTACTAAAACTGAACCACCATACTTAAAGACCCCCGGAGCCAATCCATCTGGACCAACTGCTCTTCATCGTTCCAGATTAGCTATAGCTTTTCGAATCGCAATTAAAGTCGGGGAGGCCTACTCCAATGTTCCATTCAGGCTGTTTGGGAATGGTGGGTAGTTGTAGAGCAGCTGAAAGTCAGCCGAACTGCTCCCTAAAGTGTCCTGCCAATCTTTCTAAACGCCTGGACTGAGAGTAGATAAGTGTCATCTTTTACCGAGATAATCTCACTTACACTTGACTTCTTTATTACAGTTCCCTTTATTAGTTTGAAAAGCTGTCCGGTGTTACCTACAGCCGCTGCTTTTTCCATCTCTTTTGCTTTCGTTGCCTACCACTCCTCATGGTCGTTCCTTAGACATTTGGTTAACCTAGATCTGATTTGTTTTCGCTCTTCATCGTGTTCAGAGCCTGATGGGTTGGGTTTACGAGAAATCATCAGTGCAATAGACCTTGAAGATATACACTAGTTCTTTGTAACCCTGTGGTTTAAACCACTAATAGATGTCACTCCGATTTCCACAGCTGTCTGTATATCTTTTCAAGCAACATCTGGGTCAGCTTCGTTAAAAACGAAGCTGCCTTAGTATGACTGCAGTTGTTCCTGGAATCTAATTCCGGCTTTCTCGTCACTCAGTTCAATTCTAGTGGGTCCATTTAAATCACAAAAACTCATTAATTACTGATTTTACTACCTTTTAAGCCATGCTCACAAAGGTTATAGCCCCCTAAACGACTCAAATAAAAATCTAATGTCTTTAAGTAATAACATGTCTGAACCACTCCATCTTAAGACTAATCCATAATATATTGAGCGCAAATTCCAACTAAACGCTCAGTACGTATTTCAACTGACTGTTCATACATGCAAGTAATTAAACAGTAATTAATACGAATCCCTTATTAAATACTTTTAAGTAATCACCTTCGAAAAGTACATTCTGTGAGATAATTTAGTAATACTAATTCTGCTTCATACGCGAAACGATGCTCAAAAGCGACAACAATATACCTAAATTGTATCTCTCCCCCATAAATGTTTTAAAATCGTTTGCCAGAAGTACACGTCGAATACTCAACAGAAAAGTTTAAATAACTCCGACTACCATGAAAATAAAATCTGATTACCTTTTCTGCGAGTAGGTCGCTTTTTCTGTTTATCATTGTTTCTAAGTTTCGTACTTGCTTTAGAATTAAATAAATTAGTAGACACGCAATCCTTAGGCATTGTACTACTCTCTTCTTTTTCTTCATCGGATTCAATGACAATACATTTCCGCTTTTGTGAAGAAGCTAAAAATACGCATAAAAAGTATAGTTGGGTGAGGTGTTACATGTAGTTTTCAAACCAAATTCTTCGTCTTCGTCCGATACATCCAGTTTCGCACTTTCTACTGGCTTAGGAATTCTAAAATAATAATATTACAGACAGAGTAAGAAAACTAATACTGATGTACATGTTATTTTTAGTGCTTGTTGCTAAATAATTTTCAAGCGTTTTATCTACAGAAAGGAGTATATAACAAATAGTTAACTAACCATCCTGGACAGACTTTTCAATCTTACTGAAAAAGTTTTTGAAATCTGAAGTTTTAATTTTCTTATTGCATCCACCTAATTTTGTTGAGCAATTCCAGTAACTTACTGGCAGCAAGACTCGGTAACACAGGAGAATCAACATGTTCCGGTGCTTTCTGTGCAGTCTCTTGATTTTCTCGACATGACAGTGGATCAGAAGATGACTCCCACGGAATACTAGTTAATCTAAAGAGAATCAGTTAAAAAGCAGTACATAAAATATACACGAGTGCAAGTATTATAGATTTGAACAGTCTCAAAGAAGCGAACTAACCTTTTTAATTGATCTGTAGAAATATTATGCAATAAATCGTAGCAAGCCAATGATAAAGAATCCTAAAAGCCAATTATTAATTTACTTGTCAACAGAAACACCTTGCATTGTCGGCGTTGTATACTATACACAACACATTTAGGTGGAAACGAGAACGACTTCTGAGCCAGTGATAACTGGTCTGAATTGGCCAACTTAACTAATATATCATTTTGTTTACTGATCCCAGTCAGTAGATATACAGATGACAAGTTGTCACGTGCCTGGAGATATGCCGCCATCAAACTAAACGAATATGCGTACATATATATATCTATTGAGAACCAGATAGATTACCGTCTCGATGCATCTATATTCAAGTCGAAAGTGATAGATAACCAACTTGCAGTAATCTGGAAAATAAAGGTTATCTGATGCATATCAGTACGCATACAAATCCATCTTCATCCTCTAGCTTCTCGTCAAGATTTTCGAAAAGTAGTTGATCCCCCATTATACATTTAATGGATCTGAATAAGACTGTGTAAACATGAAATATTAAAGGATTGATTATACAAGGTTAACTAAGATCAAAATTTCCAGTTTGCAAAAGTTAAGGTTTGAAAATAAATGCCAACTCAGACTCTTGCTTTTGTATATCCAAACTTGAAAATATAGTCAAATACAGCAATTAAGTAAATGCTTATGTACTTGGTTTGGAATTGCATTTAATCAGATGAAGATATCTGCTATATTCTCAATCTGATACACGCAAAGCTGTGTTTGAACTCAAAAGTTGTCACAACCTAGCCAGTTAGGACTAAACAATAATGGTGTGCGCATTAGTGACCAACTTCGGCGAATTCTCGAAGGTCTAGTCAGAAGTCGTGACTGGTCTTCATTAAGCAAGTGCAAAAGGCATCATTAACGTGGTAAACCTAAAGCTGATGTGATTCCGAAATGTAAACCACAGAATTCCAACCCAGAGGTCTAAAGAAAATAAGCTCGCTCCAACACCTGAATGTACTAGTCCTAATTCCTGGTAGAATAGCCAGTGGGTGCCCTTAAAGAGTAGCCGACTGAAGCGAAAGTCATTTGTTCTTAAGTTTTTCATGGTATTGTAACCCATAAGTCTGACAAAAACAAACTTAACTAATTTGATCTCCAAAACCAACTACCTAGATTCTGAACCTGTCAAGTACTTTAAACGTGTTTAAATTATCGAACTTTAAAACCTCATAATCAATGAACACAGACTTCACTTGAAATAAACGCAGACCGTGGCACGAATTTAACTAGATAACCGAAATAAACAACAGCCAAAAACTTTCGCTGGCGCTAAGAAGCTGGTTTTTATCGGTCCACCATAAGTATTAAATTTAATTAGAATACAATATTGGAAAACATCAAACTATAGCTAAGGGAAAGTTTATAGAATATCCTATAAGCTTTTACTATATTACATATGTAATATAGTAAAAGTATAATCACTAATTCGATACAAACTTCGTAGTCTGCATCTATTACTGAAGATTTTTAACGAAAAATGGCAAATGACTGTGACGGATGATTCAAGAAACTGCCATTGACCGGCATCTTTCCCTACATGATCAGACTGTTCGAAATGTATTGCGCCAATATATCACTTAATTCTGATAATCTTATTATTATTATTACATTATCGAAATTTATCAAAGAGGCTAATTGCTTTATAATTCCTTCACATGGTAGTGCTCACAATGACTTCAAAAACTTGATATATATATATATATATATATATATATATATATATATATATTGTAATTTCTTATTCACGCAGTACCGATGTACCATTAAAGTTCACTAGGACTATCGTCAGAATATATTCAGATGAATAATTGGTTCGGTGGACAAACTGGTGTAAAGACTTTGGACCATCACCTGACATCAAAACAAAAATAGACTTGTACAAACTCGTTACAAGGACATACAATCAAACAACGCAGGCTATCTAGGAGTGACATTTGAACCAGAGATAACATCCAAAGGATGACAAAGTCGTATGACACTACATATTTAGTGGGTAATGATTTGAGTTATGACATGTTACAGTTCATACAAATACAGTTTATGAAAGTCGCATTATACCCAACAACCAAACTGGACACACTTATCGCAACCACGAACTTTTATTAAAACCAAAGATAGGATACATGAAAACGTAAAGTAGAATAACTTTGATCAAATCACCGAGATTACCGAGTTTTGGGGTAATCACGATCAATATCAGTGATCTAACCAACCAACTAATCGACGACTTCTAAACAAAAATTACGCTGCTCACTGAACAAACCTAATGACAGTTGTAATGAGCAACTCAATCAGTTGCCTGGAACGGCAACTAATTGCCGTTGGAGTAAACCCCGCTGAGATGCGTGTATATAATCTCAGCTCAATTAGCTCCTAACTACTTGCAACTGCTCAACTAAATGTATCAATCCAAACAATTATTCAATAATTTTCACGTCAATGTCGTCAGCATCTCACCAGTGTAGCACGTACTATTAACGTTCACTTGGAAGCAGGAGTGACCTAAAACACAACACAACAGTCAGGACCGGTAAACGCCACTGAAGTAAGAACGCGACGTACTGGCACAACAGATATATATTTAAAAATTGAAAGACGCGGTTCGAGTACAAAACGGGAAACTTATCACAAAATGGATTTATTCATTGTTCTGCAGGTCCAGCTTGCGTAGGACCTGTTCCTCTTCTTTCAGTAAGTTTATTTTTAACTACCCTGCAATAAGGAAAACGAACCTACATTAGTGATCTTTAATACCGTTACACCAGCACCATTTAAGACTTCCGCGCGACTCCAACCGTCAGACGATGTCGATATTGTGTTGAAGTAAAACTTGAGCAGAACAGGCTAAATGTTAGCATCTTGAAGTTCTGTTCTTTATTATTAAAAGGCTAAACCCCTGTTTCATTTTCTTAAAAATCGAAAGATCGAGTTAACAATACAAAGGGAAATGCTAGAAGAAACACTTGTATCCCCTCTCATTAATTTTGAAAATTAAATCATAACCAGCGTTCTGTTGAAATATTAGGCGATTCACAACCAGCCCGAACGAATCTTGGGTGCTGAGGGAGTGTGCGGAGAAGCGTGTTTAACGAATGTAGCGTTCAATTTTATACTTACTTTCTCCTGTTACCTCTCGTGGGCAGCATAGGCTTCTGGCAAGCATTTTCTATCCAACTCTATTCTGGTCAGTCCTTTCCAGTTGCTATTCATTCTTTTCACGTCTGCTTCCAGTTCCCGACGCCATGTGTTCATTAGTTTTCCGCGTTTCCTTTTCCGTTCAGGATACCAAGTTAGCACTTGCCTCATGATTCAGTTTGATGATTTCCGAAATAGATGTCACATCCCCATCTAGCATCTTGTCATACTTTCCTCCCCAGCTGGAAGCCGATCTGTATTTCCCCACAATAGTTGTTGCCGATGGTATCCGGTTAACAGAAATTGAGTATCTTACGTAGACAATTTTTTATAAATAACTTTACTGTTTTGATAATGATCGTTGTCATTCTCCAAGTCTCAGCGTCACACAGTAGGACTGCCTCGACGTTCGCATTGGAATTTCTGACTTTGATGTTGAATGACATTCGTCTTTAGTTCCATATGTTCTTCCCCTGAAGGAATGCTGCCCATGCTTTGTCAATCATTGCCTTCACATCTGCGCCAGTCCTCTCTGTTTATCGATTGTGCTATCCAGGTACATTGAACTTTCCACTCCTTCCATTGCTTCTCCACCAAGTGTGATCATGCTGTCGATCTCTGTATTGTTTTTGGGATCTCGCTATTTTCCTTGCGTATATTGAGAAGTACTCTTGTAAAGCCTGATGCTACATTGGCTGTCTTCACTCGGTTTTATTGCTGTGTATGAGATAGAGAAACTTGATCACCTCTGAGTTCCATATCATCTAGTTGCATCCAAGTTGTCCATTGTACTCCATGCTTCCCATGGGATATGGACTTCTTCATAATCCAGATAACGATCAAACAAAAGAGGAAAGACAAGAGTATACAGTCTTGTCTGACACAGGTCCTCACATTGGGATGCATCTGTCAGCTATCCTCTATGCACAGCATTTCAGTGTAGTACGTCTTGTGAATTTCGTAAAATGTTGACGATTTTCCCAGGTACACCATAGTGTCCAAGATGGCTCCATTAAGTTTTCTTATTCACACTGTCAAACGCTTTCTCTTATTCAAGGAATTTGACGTATAGTTACGAGTTCGACGATCCATTGTGTCTCGAAGTAGTCAACACACGATCAATCCTTACAGAATCCAGTCTGTTGATCTCGAGGTCGGGTATCTACTGAATCTCGTCCTGCTCGGAAACACTTTGTTGAAAACGTTCTCCAATATTGATAGCAGTGTGGTTTCCCTGTAGTTCTCACACTTGCTCAAATCTCCTCTCCATCGTATCTTGATGAATAACCCTTCATTCCAGTGTGTTGGTGGCACTTGTTCTTCCCGCCAAATCCTTATGAATATAATGTGGAGCACCTTTGCGATTAATTCTCTGTCTGATTTCACTGCGTCTACTTGTATGATGTCTGGTCCTCCTACTCTCCCACACTCGATCTGCTTGATGATCATGCTGATTTCTCCGACGGTTGGTGGGTTGACATTTATGGAAAAGTTTGTATGTGTTGCTTCGATTTGTGGTGAGTTCAGTGTGTCTGATCTATTCAAGAAATATTCAAGGTGCTCTAACCACCTATTCTACCGTTCCTGAATCTCAGTGATTATCTTCACTTCCTTGTTGTTGACTAGTCTGTCTAGTTTACTATGTTTCCCTACTAGATTCTTCGTTGTATCACATAGTTAGCGATAAAACGCTTTCAGAAATCTGTCTCATGTTTGATTTTACTCTCACTTTAATAGATTTTTTGTATTGCTCTCTCTGTGTTGTATAAAAGTGTAAAGGGGCGTGTACTAAGGTTTATTGAAGCCTTAGCCATACAAAAATTCAAACCCCCTTTATGTATTCAAAAACAGTTTGTTCTCACCTTAAACCTACCCTGGTAATATTGACTTATTAATCAGTGTGATTAGGTTTCAAATTGTGTTCACATTAATATCATTACTATTATTACTACCCTTTACCCTTCTTACGCCATTTCGAGTATAATTGACCTTTTATTTTTATACATAAATGTTCTTAACAAGTATATGTGTGGTCAGATTATTCAAAATGGATTTCGTTGATATATCATATAGTTCTGATAATCTTAGTCCTCTTACTACATTATCAAAAATCAATAAAACCAGATGAACTATACACTAAACTCTTAACACAAATGGCACAATATATTGCCGCAATACTGACCATGATATTCAATTTATCGGTCGGCACGTGTGAGTTACCTACCGACCAAAAGGATGCACTTGTCACACCAATACGCAAAACAGGACCATGACAACTCCCATCAAACTACAAACCTGTCAGCTTCACCAGTGTCGTAGTTAAAATATCTGAAAAAATAATCGAAAAAGCCATAATGGCTCTCGAGGAAACAAACAGCTTGTTAAACAGGGAACAATTTTTTTTCAGAAAAGGTTTATCTCGAACAACGAATCTCCTTATAGCAAGGAAGCAATGAATAAAGGCTCTAGATAGTGGAAAATCAGTGAATGTTTTCCATATAGACTCCAGCAAAGCACTTGATAAGGTGCTGAAAAGTAAGCTACTCTTGAAGATCGAAAATCTCGGCTTTGCCGGACCTCTCCTTAAATGGATTAAGGATTTTTTTAGGTCGTAGACGGAAGATGAAAATTAACCGTAAATGCTACTTCTGGAAACCGATATTTAGTGGTGTAATGCAAAGCTTTGTCCTAAGTCTCTTAAAGGGTTCTACTGTATGTAAATGAACTCCATATATAGTTGAGTCCCCAATGATGCTAATGATGTAAGAATCTATAAATAAAAATAAAATAATTTAATATCCCAATGAGTAGAAAATTGGATTTTCTGACGTTTCGTAACTTAGTGTAAGTCACTTCTGGTGAAAAATAGCACGAGACGCAGATTTATGTGCACTTCAGGAAGACTCAGATGTTTTGATGAGTTTGTCTAAAGAATAGCTGATGCATATTAACTCAAACGAGTTTGTCTACTCATTGATTGGTTATACAAAGCTAAATAGCTACAATATAAAAGAAGTGTTTATGTCCGCCATCCGAACTCACAAGGGCCTTATGATAAATGTGAGCGATTATCTGAAGATTTAAGAAACTAGAACTCTTTAATCTGTCGTCCCTTAGATTGGAAGGTGATCTGATTTTGATTTAAATAATACTGAGAAATGGTTTTGGAACTGATATATCCCTTTTTCTCCCTACTAGATCAGGCGAACTCCCAAGACATACCAGGTAAGTAAAAAAGACAGATGGCATTCAGGATTTAACACCGAGTTATCGATTCTTGTATAGAACCAGTTAAATGTCAATGGTCTCTGGCCAAATCACGTCACGTAAGTCAACAGTCTGCCGGTCCTCGTCATGGTCAAGTACGACTGACTGAACTGGCCCAGGTGGTGGTCGCACAGTTCCTTGTACTTATCCTACTAATATATTTCTGCAATAACGTCACCTGTGTTGTATGGTCATCATGGTAGCCATAGTACGTGGATACGACGATTGGGCAACCCACTGTGAACCACTAACGTGGATGGCTTTGGTCTACTCGAGTTGGACGGGAATGGTGTTACCAACAGCTAAATTAGAAGTCACATCTCACAGTCGGCACCTAACTTAGATTGCTCCTTCTTCGTATCAAGTTACTACGGCTGTTTTGAGGATCGTATACACAAAAGACGCTATCACAGAAACATCGTAGTAAAAGCATGTACAATAAAGAACTTGAGAACAGAAGCGAATGAGCCAGTCCACAGCGTGCAGTCAATTAGCGCGCGTTGGTTGCCCTCGATACTTACGAGAATCGATGGACTGTTGGAAATCCAGTGACCCAACTTCTAATTGTCATGTAATGTCGGATAATTTGTTTAGTCCATATAACATACTCTAGCTTCTGGACAGGCCGATTTATCCATTCTCCTCAAGCTAGATTTTGACCTTGTTTATTATTGACTTATCAATCCTGACTTTTTATATGAGCACATGTGTGTGTATATCTTATCCCACTCATCACATGTCTGCAGCTTATTTTTGTGTGACTACGAATGTTGACTAACGTTTGATTAAATAGAGTTGGCTCATACGCCTTGTGAAGTATTCGGATTATTACATCAATCCCTAAAATAACTCAATTTAGGTCTTGTAGAACAAGGTGAGTACAAACGAACATATTGTGTTTATAATCCAAAATCAGATATATATTAAGTGCAAATGAATCATTAGTTCATACAGACACAACTGTCACAGCTTAAAGTGGAATCTCAGTCCCTGTAATCAACTGAAAGTCTTCTCAGGCTCATTGTATGTCTGTCAGACTGTGTACTACACAAAGACTCCGTCTGGTCTAGAACATGCTCATTACTAAGAGCCTTAACAACTGAAATGGGAAAAGGCTCATCTGGATTCTTGTGATGAATTCGGTGATTGTGACCATCTCGCATGCGGACCACAGATTTATTGACCTGTTTTGCCCCTTCAGTCCTGTAATTCGCATGTTACCAAGCACACCATTAGAGCCATTCTCAGTGGTCAATAAGGAAAGCTTAACCTGAAGCATTCTTAAATTTTATAGGTTCACGATCAGTAATGAGAAATTCGAGATTTATAATTGAAGATTTATCATTTCTGATTGAAAGATTACAACATCCCGGAATGGAAAGTTTTCGACCAGTAGTACATT